TCGTATGTGATAAGCAATTTCATTATGTAAACACACGCTGCCTTTTATAATTTCATACGCTTATCAAATCCAAGAATTTATACATTGTCTTGTTATCTTGACCTTCTGGCCACTTTGACAACGGAAAAATGCTCCCATGCTGAGGAATAATGATTAATTTGTTACATATAAGCTGAGATTTTGTAAATTCTGGTTTAATAATACTTTGATAAAGCTATTAGCATTAAATAGCAAAACGTCAGTAAAAACAATATCGTTTTGTTTTTCATTCATTGGGAAATACAAAAAGAACATTTTGTTATAATGATTATCATATACCCATTGCCCACTTTTTTTCAAAATGTTAAAAGTGAACTTGGTTTGGACATACAAAACAAGTAAAACTTTAAAACGAGACCATGAGGTAATTGATGGTCGTAACGATACATGGTTCACCCTTGAAAGCTGAAAACTGTTACTGTTAGGTGACTCCAGGTTTAACCGAAGCCTTAAATTTGTTAATTTTTTTTATAATTCCTTCACTTTCCCAGTGGAACATAGAGCTTCAAGCTAGAGGCTTAAAGTTTCGGTAGCAGTGGTGTTTATTTTTACGGGTTGGAGTTGCTAACCCCATACCCAACCTCCCCTCTTTGCTGGACCTATTACTGGCTCAGCGAGGTGCGTCGGACGTGATCGAACATCGCACCACATGAAGCATGGTTAGTGAGCATTCTACCGCTGAGCCACCGACGATGTAAAGCATATTATTATTGTCCCTTCTGACGTCATCGTTCCTAATGATACAAATCATAAGCTTAGTGACTTTCATGGTGTTAATACTCGTGATGTTCTCAAATTTCTAAAACCATCCCAAAACATTTGCTCCTGATGTCGTACCTGCAGTCATCCTCAGAAGATATGCGGATATTTTATTTTGTCCCCTCACAAATATTTTCAGTGCAACTTTTTCCAGTAATGTTGTACGTGGAGCATACATATAAAGACATTAAAATTATCCATGTCCTCAAAATCAAATACTAGTTTTAATGTTAAATTTAGACCTTCTGCAATCACCTCCGTTTTTGAAATTTATGGAGAAATTACTCTTACTAAACCTTCAGTGTTCCTTGAAAAGTTTACATCGTCCCAAACAGTTTGCTTACACTCAAGGTAGAAGTACTTTTGATGCTGCCGGCGTATTACATAATAACATTGTCTCCTCTTAAGACAAAAGGGCCAAATATGTACGTTGTACCTTCCTCAACTACACATCTGCTTTCGACTCAGTACCTAGATAGATGCCTTTTGTTAAATAAGCTTTCCATTACGCAAACTGAGTCCTGGGATGTCAACTGGTTTTATTTCTATTTCTCAAACAGAATGCAGTATACTGTGTATAAGGGTGAATCTTCTTCTGCCTTGCTTACTGAAAATGGTGTTCTTCAGTGTGCTGGTCTCTCTCCTTATCCTTTTTTTGTTTCTTCTTCCATGACTTACGTCTTTCGACTGAAATCCACTTCGTCAAATACGCTGATGACCTGACCGTCTAGCTTCCTCTCAAGATCTAATCTGACTGTTGCAAGCAATACGAGAGAACCAGGCAGGCTTTAGACCAGAAAGAGGGTGTATTGATCATATCTTCACCCTTTGACAGATTCTGGAACATAGGCATACTCACCACAGGCGTCCAACAATCATCATATTTCTTGACCTAAAGGCGGCATTCCATTCTGTCGACGGGGATGTACTCTGGCGATGCTTCGCTGTAAAGGGAATGTCGAGAAAATGCATTGCACTGATCGAGGCACTCTACTCGAATTCATGCAGTCAGCCAGGTAAGAACTTATGGCGAGTTGTCATCTGAAGTGGTGACGACTAGTGGTGTCCGTCAGGGAGGGATGCCCACTATCCCCGTTTCTATTCAGTTTCATCGTAGATGTACTAATGGACTTAACCCTAACTGCTGACTTCGGTGACTCATGAATTGACTTGTTACCACCAAGGAATAATCTCGTTCCCACAGAATATGCAGATGATATAGTCCTCCCACCTGGGTGAAGACGCTGAAAAAATGCAGAGTCTTCTGAACACCTTGAGCTTTACAGCAATCTTCGAATGTTTCGCATGGGATCCACTCTCACCAAATGTAAAATGATGCTACAGGACTAGACTGGACTACACTGACTCCTAGTTTAGAAATAGAGAGTGAAGTGGTAGAGCACGTTGACCGCTTCACTTACTTGGGAAGTACCATCAGACCCAACGGGTTGATCTCCGACGAAATCTCAGCACGGATACAGAGGGCTAGTTTCGCATGTGCCAGTTAACACCCTCTCTGGCGTAGACGTGATATCCGGCAGGTCATCGACCAAAATGCGTGTGTACTGCTCAGCAGTCCGCTCCGTCCTTCTTTATAGCTGTGAGTGAGACCTGGCCATTGAGAGTGGAAGATATGAAAAGCGTGGCTACCTGTCTTTGATCATAGGTGCCTGAATTCTATCTCCCGTGTAAAGTGGTATAACAAAGTAAGCAATATTGAGATTAAGCTTCGATCGAGTGCTAGGTAAGAAGGGGAAATCAATAGACGAGACTGTGAAGTTACCTCCACTGAGATGGTTAGGATATGTGTTACGTATGCCTAGTCATCGCCTTCCTCGACGGACAATGTCAGCTGACATATAGGGTGACGTTGGAAAAGAGCCAGTGGCGGTCAAACGAAAACATGGTATCAGTCAATGAAATCCACAACAATTAGATTAAGTTACGTAGGGAAGTGTAGACTTCCTGACTGGTTGGGGTCCTTGGGATAGTAAACATCAGTGACTGGAGACAATCAGTGATATGGCTCAAAATCCTTCTCAATTGCAGGCGTAGATGCATCCACTCGTTGTGATTTACAATACCGAATAAAATGATATTGTTCTTCGATATTACTTTTCTTTTTGCCTTACGTCTATTTCTACTGTCTCTATTTTGCATTTCTTTTTACTTTCTTCTCTTGCTTTGAGTGCAACATGGAGTGTGACGACTTGAACTGCTGCACATCGGTGCAAAGTTATGTGTTGAAGTCAGTCAGTCAGTCAGTCAGTTAGTATTACAATCCTGACTTTGAATCTCTCTTGTTGGCACAACTGATTCACTGTTATTTATTCATTATTTATATATTTCCCAGTATATATTTCACATAGTATGTGTCACATGACATGTAGACTATTCGCCCAACAAATTATACAGATATTTTGATGAATGCGTTAAATCTTGAAGAAAAACATGATGGTAGACTACACATCCTTGATGTCCAATTGACTAGAAGAGAGGATGGTTCACTCAAGAGAGATGTTTATAGAAAACCTTCATCTGTAGGACAATGTAAACATTTCCTCAGTTTTGTACCAATCCGATACAAAATCGATTTGGTTAGATGCAAGACGGATCTGTACAAATGACCCTCTAGAAAATGAGTTAGGGTACATCTGAAATACGCTGGTCCAAATGGGTTATCCTAGTAGATTTGTAAGGAGACACATGGACACCAAGTACAATAAAGAGAAACTGACAACAGTTGAAAAGAAACAACTGTTCCTAAAATTGCAATTTAATGAGGACGTGGCTAGTGATGTCTTACATCTGAGATTATCGAGAGCAATAAAACGGACTTACACTGCCAACACTCTTCGTTTGCCATTTTCCAGCCAACCAATTATGATTGCTCAAGCGAAAGACAAACTACCTAGCTGTACCACTTCTATGTGTGTCTACAAATTTAGTTGTTCCTGTGGAGAGAGCTATATAGGGCGAACAACTAGACAGCTCAACAAACGGATTAATGAGCAACTTCCTTCATGGTTCGGAAAAGTCCAAATAAAACCTCTAAGTTATCTATTGCATTCCATCGAACCTTTCGAACTCGCCTTTTACACACAGTCGAACTGTGGGAATCAATTCGAGAGAATAATCCTAGTCTTTGCATACAAAAGAAGTTTGTTCTACCTTTGTCTCTCCCTTGGCCTAGGTGAATTCTATTCAAAACCCTCCTACCCGTTCTTATTTTCCATTTCCTTCGTGTTTGAATGATATTTATTTAAACTCTGATTATCTGTCCACTTCATCTACCTTCAGTATTACGTACCTTTTAAGATTTGACCTAATTTACTTATTGAATTGTCTACATATACACGCGTATTACTACCTTTGTTATTTTTATCGCCACCTGCATAAACCTTACTATTTATTTTATTTTTGTTATCACTATAATCAACTTTATTAATGACGTTCAAAACATTTACCACATTACTATTACTATTATCATTATTTGATGCACAAAATCCCCGTCATTGGTTAAAATTTCTATATAAATCTATGTAAATTAGAGTAAAGCCTGATGAAGATCAAACTGAAAACAATATTGTTCGCTTATATCTCTTGTTCTGATAGTACTGACGGGAATACTTTAAGATTTGAAATCTTGATTCCTTCAACAACATTTCAGTGCAGATTTCTTCTCAAACTAAAGACTATTCAGAGAATATTCGAGATCAAGGAGTCTTAGATGGCTGTTTCGTCTCTATCTAGGACTCTTCATCCGTGCGCACATACGATCCCATTAGACATCGAACTCATAACCTTAACATTGGATTTAATGTCTATTAAAAGGAGTTTCTTGAATTACACTGCGGGCTCATTTGACTGATTGATCACAGTCATCACATCCGTTAAATTCGGTCCTTCATTCGGATCGGTCTACCCGACTGTTTTATTTTCCTCTTTGCCAGTCAACCTCATGCCCAAACTTCCCGAGTTTACTAACAGCTAATAAACTAAACAAGGTTAAAAGAGTCGAACGCGCGCGCCACACGTGAGTCGTCGGCGAGCATTCTCCTAATGAATCACTACTGAAGAAGACGCATCATTTTATCCCCCTAATAACAAAAATCACCACATTGCACTACACTTTACAGCCCCACTTCCCAACAGTCTATCACTAAAGGAAAGCCAATAAAACACATTACATAATCTCTCTTGCTTCCACTGTTGTATATATATTTTGTTTTTTAAATATTTTCTTCTGCAATGTCAATGAAAACAAATTCATCAAGAACTAACTTAATAATTATTCATTAAATGAAAAATAAGTGTGTGTGTGAGTGTCAGAGAGAAATGAAACATCAGACGAGATGAAAACGAAATAATCATATACATGTCGTCTTGCAAGAAGGAAGGAGAAGAAGACGGAAGAAAATGCAGGCAAATATTCACAAGCGCACACACGCACACATACATACATGCACGTATACCATCACACCTATTGTGTGTGTGCATCGAGGGTAGGCGTTAATGAATACCCCTACCTGGCTGCGCCCAAACCTCGCTTAAGTGAAGCGGGATTCGAACCCGAGACGTAGGCAGTTGACAACCAAGTCCGCCTGGACCGCACATACATTCAAACACACGCAAGCACACACACACAAATACTAGAACAGAAAAGAAATGCACATAAATCACCAATAAGTGTCAATATAGTCAAGAGAATAGAAGTTAAGGTAAGGTAGGCAGGTACCAGTGTCATTGTCATTGTAACTAATATGTTTATATTCCTATCATTGTTTGAATTGAAATTTATTGTATGCAGAATAATAACCCGGTAAACACACATACGCAAAATAAATAATAATAATAAATTTAAATGTTCGTTTCTATGAATAAAGATGAATTCAAATTAACAACATCAACAAATAATAACAAACAATTGATACATTAAAACAAATAACTGGATAAATAAATAAATAAATAAATGAACAAATCAATATTAAATATTGATTATTGTCACATAAAAAGAAATAATATTATTATTATTATTAATCAATTGTATGTAAGTTTCAAAAATATTAACAATAAAAATTAAACAAAAAAGACGAAAATTGAACATTGAATGGTAAATAAAAAATTGAAGAAGAAGACAATTGCTACTAACCGGAAGGAAGTAGTTAGTTATTGTACAAAAGTGAATACAGGAAATTTGAATGAAACACTCTCACTGATTATTATTATTATTATCACGATAATGTACATGGACATTAACAAATAATGGAGAAGCGATATCAAAGACACTAGGAGATGTCACGGTTTCAAGACAGAAGAATAACACAGTCAGTCAGTTGAAAAAAATCAATAAAAAATCAAAATTAAGAAGAAGAGTTTAAAATATGCCTAGAAGAAGAAGTAGAAGAACATGATGATAAATGCAAGAAAGACAAATGTATTGAATGCATTGAAAAGGAGGGAATTATGAATGTGTTGGCGAGAGGGAGGGAGGGGGCGAGGAGGTTTAAAGCAGTGAACTCCTCTCACATTTTAGCTGTTTTCTATCATTCAAGAGACACAAAATAAGAAATTGATTGATTGAAAATCAAGAGGAACAGACAGTGTGAATGCAGAAGTAGAGGTAGATTATTATCATGACTACTGATAGATACTACTAACAAAAGTGACAGTAGTATATCAGAGCAAAATAAGCTCCCAAGCATCAAATATACAGAATGAATCAAATGCAGAATGGACACAAGAGACTTGTGGACTGAAGTGAAATATTACCTGTACACACATGCACACACGCAGACACTGTCACAACCGAACTGCAGACATAAAACCAAAGTCTTTAGAGTACAGGATAGACAAGCCAAACTCCACAAGTGTCCACCTCTGAACAAACTAACCATCTACTATTTTGACTAGGATATTGATTTATCGATTGATTTATTTATTATGATCCGTTAGTGTTAACAAGATTAGGAATACGCACATTTGTACAACCAGCTGATCGTCGATCACTGATATCATTGAGTTGCGGGGTAACAGCAATGGTGCTGCCGCTGGTGGTTGTAGTAACAGCTGGGGAAGTACCACTAGCCTGCGAAGGAGGATTATGACTCCCGCTGCCTACACCATTTTTCATCACAACTTTATTACAAGCATTAACAGCAGCAGCGGCAGCCGCAGTATTACCACCACCAGCAGCGACAACAACTTCAGGCGGTTCAACATTCTCGTAAACATTTGTCGCAAGATGTTGAAAAACAGCCAACAGTTGAGCAAATGTCGGTCGAGCATCTGGATTATACGCCCAACAATCGTGCATTATAGCAAAGACATCATCGTTAGCTAGATGAGGTCTTGGCAGACGGACGCCTTCTTCAATTTGACGCAGTACTTCAAAACTATCCTGATCTGCATAAGGATGCTCGCCTAAAGAGAACATTTCCCATAAACAGATACCGAATGACCAAACATCACTTGCATGACTGAATGTTTTATAGTAGATTGATTCTGGGGCGTACCATTTCACTGGCCATTTACCCCGTTGAGTTGCCTTGTAGTAATCAGATTCTACACCGACAGCACGAGATAGACCAAAATCAGAGATTTTCGCGCATGAATGATTTGATAAAAGGACATTCCGACAGGCTAGATCACGATGAACAAATCTAGCCGATTCTAGAAAACTCATACCACTGGCTATCTGTAATAGAACAAGATACACACACACACGCATACACGGTTAACAGGGGAAAAACACACACACACAATTAAATCATAGAAAATCAATTAAAGTTAGTTAGAGAAAATAAAAACAATTAGTCCCTTTGAAAACTTTGAATAAGGCATTTAGAAGACAAATTTCGCGAGATGATATCGTCATTTCGTAGCTGCTTTACAACTGCTTTACAACTAACCTGGTTAACAATAATAAAATAAAATAAAGTTCATGACTCAGTTATGAAAAGACTGCTTCTGTACCAAAGAAAGCTATTTTTATTAACCTACCATTCAAGGGTGACCAGATTATGCAGTTGACAGCTCAAAGACTTCGGTCAGCCATCCAACGCATATTCTATGCCACATCTCTTCTCCTCGCGCGGAGAATATTTTCGAACACTGTACCTACGATTAAAGGACGAAATTCTGTGGACTCTACTTCAAACTGTATCTACAAGTTCACCTGCAGCTGCGGTGACACCTATATGGGTAGAACCATCAGAATGTTCCAATGTGGTCGTCGAAAAGAACATGTTCCAAAATGGTTACTAAATCATAGAGAAAATCCCAATGCGATTATTAATCTGAATAGAAATCCAGCATCATCCATTACAAAACACTTATTAATGTCAGGTCAAAAAATCAATATTAATTAATGACTGTTTCACAATTATTTCACCACATAACTCTAATTCAAGGTTGGTTATTGAAGGTGTTGGAAGCACTTTTGAGGATTAATCACATACAGCCTAAACTGTGTGTACAGTCAAAACAATAGACTTCGATCTTCGCCTACCATGGTCTACTTGACCTATTTAAATATGATTGGTCATCAGTATGCACTTTTTTTATATAACTGAGTCGTGAACTTTATTTTATTATTGTTAACCAAGTTAGTTGTAAAGCGGTTGTAAAGAAACTACAAAATGACGGTATCATCTCGCGAAATTTGTCTTCTTAATGCCTTATTCAAATTAAAGTTAGTTAGTCTAATCTTCATAGAGTGTGCTATTTCTCTGGAAAGTGTAGTCTAACATATCCCTCTCGCCGCCTTAGATACTTTAAACGTTTGATCACTAGCTGACATACGTTAAAGGGCAATTGGAAAGCTAGGAAGTATTGGGCAGCTGTTTAGTCCTAGTTCTGGACTCCTTCCTCATCGATACACCATCCGCCGGCATTCGAACCCAATACCTTTCGGTTACACGGTGACTTTGTAAACCACTCACAGCCACTAGAACCCACCCCCCATCTATAGTCCATGAATTTCAACCTCTGCCAATTCCAAATATAGCTAATTTACATTCAGATAGGAATTCTATTATGATTAGTTTGACCAGGAATAAGGGAAAAGTATCTTACGCATCCAGACAACCACAGGTATGTGACTGACACCTTAGAACACAATCATCGTAGAGTTCATCATTCCTTTGTGTTTCGAGTGAGTCATATGGGTTCAAGTTTCGAAGTTTTCGTAGTAGGCGTGGCGTTGCTTACCCCGCGCCCAAACTACGGGATAGGAGAAGCTTATAAGTGCGTCAGCTTAGAATCGAACACGAATCTCGACAACGTCGCTGGCGAACAAACATTATGTACTACTGAGCCACAGACATATCATCGTAGAGTAGCGTTCCTTTATACAGAAGGCTCGTTCGGCATTTGTCAGTCAACTGATGCCATCTCTGGATTAGTAGGCGTGATATCCAGCTGGCCATCGATCAAAGGATGGATATACTGCTCACCATTTCGCTCCCATCTCCTCCTATATGGCTGTGAGTGAGACGTGTCCATTGAAAGTAGAAGACATGAAAAGCCTGGCTAGCTGTTTTTCATCATCGGTGTCTGCGATAAGAGGTATAATAAGGTGAGCAATATTGAGATGGGGCATCATTCAAGTGTTAGGTATGTAGGAGAGAAAATCAATCGATGGGGTTGTGAAGTTACATCAATTGAGATGCCTAACCATCGCACTCCTCGACAACACGCAATGCTAGCTGACATTACTGACGGATCAGGTTGGAAAAGAGCTAGCACACCGTGGTCAAACAAAAACAAGGTCTCATCAGTTAATCAAATCCATAACGGTTAGTTTCAGTCAGCTATCCTGCCAGTCACGTAGGAAGGTGTAGACTGACTAGCTGACTGGTTGGAGTTCCTCGGGACAGTAAGAACCAATGAAGGCTGGAGACAATTAGTCATATGGCTGGCTCAAAATTCTCGTTGTCCAATGTATGGCACAGATGTATTGATTCATTCACTCTTTGTGATTTGTCATATCCACTGAAACTCTACTCTTCTTCTGTATTACTTACTATTCCTTTCCACTCATTCACTCACACTTCTGTTTATTATCTATCTTTTACAGCTCTGTTTACTCTGTTTCCTTGCTTTATGGGCTATATGGATGGAGAGTGGCAACTCGAAATGCTGCACATCTGTGCAACGTTCTATGTTGAAACCAGTCAGTCAGTCAGCGTTTCTTTATTACTTGCACATGAACACAATAACGAACAACAACCAGCCAATCAAGCTGCCGATCGTTTACCTAACGAGAACTACAGTGAATCGATAAAGTAATTAGTAGTGTTGAGCATTGGAAATCAATAGATGAAGCTCTGAAGTTACATCCACTAAGATGGTTAGGACATGTGTTATACATGCCTAGACATTGCCTCCCTCGACAACAGACAATGTTAGCTGACATAAAATGGACCAGGTTGGAAAAGAGCTAGCACACCGTGGTCAAACCAAAACATGGCTACATCAGTCAATGAAATCCACAGCAGTTAGTTTAAGCCAGTCACGTAGGAAGGCGTAGACTTCCTGACTGGTTCGGATCCTCGGGACGGTAAACACCAATGAAGACTGGAGACAATTGGTGATACGCCTCAAAATCGTTCTCAGTGACTGGTGTATATGCATCCACTCCTAGTGACATATAACATCGAATAAAACTATGTGGTTCTTCCATATTGCTATTCTTTTCGCCTCATATCTCTGTTTACTGTCTCTATTTTGCATTTATTTTTACTTTTTTCTCTGGCTTTGTGTGCTAAGTCAAGTGTGGCGATTTGAACTGCTGCACATTGGCGCAAAGTTCTATGTTGCGCATCGACAGTTCAGTGGTGGAATGCTTTCCCACCACGACGCCTGATGTGGCGCAGGGATCGATGCACTCATAAACCTCCCCTAGATGATAATAAGTCTAGAAATGACAGCAAGTCAGGTGGCAGGACAGCTGAAACTTCAAAGCTCTGGCTTGGAGCTCTCTATGTCCCACTCGGAAAGCCAAGGAATACACGACTAGCAATGTCGTCTATGTCAAAAGGGATGGATTTCATCTTAATTACCATGAGAGCGTACACAGACATATAAAGTCATCAATCACAAAGGATTGCAAAACATGGACAACATCCTGCTCCACCCCCCATAAATGTCTTAATCATTAAAAAGAAGATCATAGAATACTTCTTGACTCCGAGGCTGACAAATGTATTCATATAGGCAGGGCACAGACCGAAATGTATCTGAAGATATGAATTTACGAATGCTAATATATCTTAAATAATAGTAATATACCAGCGAAATAACGTTATGAATACCGGGTCACTGATTCACTACTACTACTGCTACTACTCACCTGCATACTCCAATTGTATAACTCTGGCAACTGGCATTTTTCTGGATAATCTAATAAATAGTCTAACAGACTGCCAAGTTCAGCTAACTCCAATATCATCATTAATCGTTTATTTTCACAAACACCATAGATGGTTATTATATGCGGATGTGACAACTGCATCATAATTGTTGCTTCTTTTAAAAAGTCCAACCGTTGGGATGGTTGAACAAGAACCTAAAAAATTACAAAGAAAAGAAAAAAACATATTGAGGGGAAACATGTTTTATAATGTGAATCAGTTTGAAATGAAATGAAATGAAAGAAAAAGAAGCGTTATTCAACAATCAATAGGAATTCCCTATTGTGTGTGAGGCGGAGGGGGCCCGGGAATACTCTACCTGACTGCCAAAGCCTCAGTACCTGGAGTGTGCGTTTCGAACCAGTCACCGTATGGCTGGAAGTCGAATGACTCGACCAATAAGCTACAGCTCCAGAACATATTGTATATAATTTGCACTTAACCGATTCACAGCTAGAAATTATAAATCATTATAATAGAGGTTTTCTCTGTATTTCCCAATGAATGAATGAAAAACAAAACGATATTGTTGTGTTTACTGATGTTTCGATGTTTAATGCTGCTGCTAATACCCTTATCAAAGTAGTAATATTAAACCAAAATTTACAAAATCCCAGTTTACAACATAGCAACTTAATCATCATTCATCAGTATGAGGTAATTTGTATGTTGTGGTCAGGTTGGTCAATCATAAAAGGCAACAAAGCCAGGTGTAGATTGTTGGATTTGATAAGTGTATGAAATTATAAAAACAGCGTGTGTTTACATTACGAAATTGCTTATCAGTTACATTCGTGTTGATTTTGTCACTTCATGGGGGAGGGAGGTGTTGTGACCAGGTCAAATTCCCTCTTAGTCCATCATTCCTATTCACACAATTTGGATTCCACTTGATATGAAGTGCTTCTGATGATATCAGACGTTCTTTGTGATTTCTGAAATGCTTTTTCTGGATGATGATTTCAATATTGTCAAAATCAATTTTTTTGACTTGATTCTATAACGTGTAGACCTATGGCTGACGACTTTTTCAAGCTTTTTTAGTTCAAATGGATTTCTCGGCGGTCGAACAGATGCCACTCTACAGTGTTCATTTCTTCTGATTTTGATTCCTCTCTAGTGATGTTTGTCCGATGTATATCGCATCACATTCTAGGCATTTTATTTTATAGACACAATTAGATAGAGGATCTCTAGAGATTTGGTCTTTCATGTGGACAAGGTTGCTTCGCAGTGTGTCTGATGTTTTGAAGAAAACTCTGATGTTGTGCTTATTGATCAATCTTCTGATATTGTCTGACGTCTCTGATCTCTATATGGAATGACAACTGTTGAGGCCCATTTCGTCGGAATACGTTTTCGACCATATTTAATGTCAGTGTTGATTTTGTTGATGAAGTCCCTTGGGTAGTTGTTTTGCTTGAGAGTTTTAGTAATGTTTGATATTTTTTCTTCTTTATCTTTCTCATCCGTTAACATCAAAGAGTGTGCTCGTCTAAGAAGACTTGAAACAATTCATACCTTTGTGCTGATGGGGTGTGATGATCCGAAGGATTCACTATTGACTGATTTTGACAATGTTGAAATCATCATTTAGAAAAAGTATTTCAGAAATCACAAAGAACGTCTGATATCATCAGAAGCACTTCATTTCAAATGGAATGCAAATTGTCTGAATAGGAATGATGGACTAAAACAGAATGTGACCTGGTTACAACACCCACCTACCCCACTCAATGAAATGACAAAATCAACACGAATGTAACTGATAAGCAATTTCGTAATGTAAACACACGCTGTTTTTATAATTTCATACACTTATCAAATCCAACAATCTACACCTGGTTTTTTATCTTTACCAATTGACCAATCTAACAACGCAAAAATGCCCCCATGCTGAGGAACGATGATTAAGTTTGTTTTATATAAGCTGAGATTTTGTAAATTCTGGTTTAATATTACTACTTTGATAAAGCTATTAGCAGCAGCATTAAATAGTGAAACGTCAGTAAACACAACAATATCGTTTTGTTTTTCATTCATTGGGAAACACAAAAGGAACCTGTATTAAAATGAATATCATATATCCAATGCCCAAATTTTTTCGGACTGTTAAAAGTGAACTTGGTTTGGACACATAAAATAAATTTAGAAGTCAGTAAGGGTCAGTAAAATTGAAACAAATCGCACTTTTTTTCAATTCTGATATATTTAGGACAGTTCACGAAAGCAACAAAACTGATAAAATATGGACTACAGGCTAATAAACGAAATTGTATGCTATCGAGGAATTTTATTACTACTACAAAATGCTATCAGATTTCCCAGGTAGTGGACGGTAAGGCGAACTCAACTAGGTACCACTGCCAGACTGACTTCAGCACAGAATGAGACATACGGCTTCAGCAGCTTATCACTATTTAGGCAGTTTTTTTAACTGGCTCCACGACCGCCAGCAAGTTTTTATTTTTCTCTCAATGTCATCCTCGGATTCACTCCCAACTTGTCTTTTTCCATTCAGGAGACTGGCGCGCGGTGTCAATACTCAAAGGTTTCTTCAGGGTGTGTCTAATCCATCCATCTATATTTTTCTCCTGCATAGTTGTTGATTCATTCTCGAAGTTCCTAGTTGCTCATCTTTTCTGGTCGACTGACTATCTGTTTTTTATAAGTACAGAACGAAGACATCCGTCAATGGACACCTGCTGGAAATACTTTTCGTAACGCACCATATCTCTAAACTATGAGAGCAAGCGGAAGGAAATGAAACATTTTTGGCCAAATCAGAGATCCATTGACTGAAAGCTGACTTCTTAAGTCGATCAACTACAGTTAATGGTAGTGTAGAACTTCGACGCTGTGGTAGAATGTAATTCCATATTAGTTAAGTTTATTTCAAATATCACAGTTTTTTATTCCTTCACGTTCCCAGTGGAACACAGGGCCTCATGCTAAAGGTTTGAAGTTGCTGTAGCAGTGGTGATTATTTTTACAGGATGGGGTTGCCAGTCTCATGCTCAACCTTTCCTCCTTACCAGCTTTATTACTGACTTAGTGAGGTGGAGGAGTGCGTCGGCCGAGGATCGAACCCCAGACCACGTGCATGGTCGGCGAGCGTCCTAACAGCTGTGCCATCGACGCACAATATCATACAGTGATGATGCAGCATTAATAACTGGATGATGTCTCAACCATAAGTTACTGCCACCCATAATCATATCAATTTAGTCACACGGCTTCCCAATTCGCCTTGTACATGTTTTCTCCCTTTTTCTCTCTCTCTCTCCATCTCCCCCATGTTGTTTGTTGCCACTTTCCATATCTCCGGTATGAGCGTTGCGTCATTCCGATTTGAAACATCTAAAACGTCAAGTTCATCAACTGCATCCAACAACTCCAAAAATACTCAAATTCAAAAGTTCAGCAAATTAATGGTAGAAAAATGTCCCGCTTAAGAAAACAAAATTCACCAATGAAATACCATCAATCATCGGTAAAACAAAGTGGGTAATTAACCTCTCAACAAGAGCTTTAAGTTCTGATATCAGCTCATAATGAAATCCTCCAACCAACCAAACAAAATTTGCCTACAAAACCAATACTTGAAAATTAATCTGATGCTCACTAGTGACTGGTTCTATTCAGGCAGTTAACCTGAGGTTCTAATGAGAAGCCGTGACCAATAGGGTAGAGCAGGTTGAAGGTGAGGTAGTAACTCATTGAAGAAGACATTACGAAGTGGTCGCTCTATGTCATGAATTGGCAGAAGTTAGAATTCATGGGCTGGCCGTTGTGTCAGGTCCCAGTGGTTTAATGGTCTACAAGATGGCTAGCCTTGTAACCAGAATTTCCTGGGTTCGGCCTCTGTTGGTGAGTGCGTACACTGATGAAGAGTCCCAAACTAGATGGACGAGACGGCTGTCCAGTACTCTCAGGTATTCCACTCGGAATATCCAAGGTGAGCGAGAAATTAGTAGACAACAACTGATACATCTTACTGACTGATAAGTGCCAACTATCCCGAAGCCTAGATGATCCAAAGCTTGGCTTCCTGCCGATTGCCTTCAACCATCATCTAATATGAATAAATCACTGTGTAGTACATCGTGATAACCAGCCACATAGCTTGTTGTTGGCCACATTGCATACCCCGACTTGACCGATAGAATTCAATCTGCAGCCAACAAAGAATTAGACACACATTAATTACACTAGTTATACACTACCTAGTGTCCAATTAAAACATTTTCATCGCATACAAACATAAAAAAGAGAAAACAAAACACCATACACGAACAAACAAGCAAACAAACAGACCAAATTGAATTATGATTCTCAGCATCTCACCATCATCATCACCAATATCACCAATGGGGAAATTATGCGCATACTGCTGTGATTAGTACTGCCACATATCATAAAAAAGTAAACATGACAAGACAAGACAAGATTATAGATTCTATTGTGAAGGGCGTAATTGAATTAAGTTCTACCAATTATTAACTAACTGATGATTCATTGTTGAATAAATCCAATCGAATGATGAATGGATAGATGGATGAAGGAATGGAAGACATCCACAATCAGGTTACTTTTTCATCGACACGATAACACATTCACAAAGGCATACTGAATACACTTTCTGTCCCTCCTTTTTCTCTCCAGCCTAGTCTGAAAAAATGAAACTAGCTAACATTGATGTACGATTGGAACTGTAAAGCTTTTATTAATTTATTTACCCTAATCTACCTCAACTCCACCCCACTCTAAAGGCTTTGTTTTCCAGACAACTAAAGAAATAGTAAGGAAATACCTATCTAGAACTTATGAACAAAGTATTACATACAAAAAGAACAAGACTATCTATCCATATGACTAACTGAATTCTACATTCCACTAATAGGTGACGGTTTCGAATCCAGCACCAATTAGCAAGATTCGAACCGTCAGACAGCACCATCAGCCCATTATGAATAGTCAAGTGTTCATCGGCAGGCATTTTATTATTTACAAAATTGACCACAAGTTGACATCAGTTAGAAAACCATTGGAAAACCTGGGAGTACTGGAGTACCTTGGGTTCTAATGAGAAGTTATAACCAGCGGGGTCCCCGGGGTCAGGCAAGAGGGCAACTACTCGCCCACGGTCTTGGCTGGCGGTTGCGCTGAACATCCATCACGAATTGATAGAAGTTGGAATTTATACACTGGCAACCACTGGCCAAACATATCCCTACCTCAGTGCATACTTCAATTTGGTGAAGTGAGCTTTTAGATTTCTCTACGAGCTTATTAATCATCTCTCCTGCTGACCTTGAACGTGATTCATTGTTTTCGTGTGTCCTCACACCTTCTAGGCTACTTGTATTAGAACTGATTGTTTCTTTGACTTTTGCGTATGAGATTTCCTTCCCATCGATTGGTAAATTTTGTCTATGTCGATGTGTCTACTGATCGATTCAGTGGAATACCAGGCAGCCTTCTACAAATTCTCTAGCATTCTTGTTGTTTCCTCTGTCTAATATTTGAACGTTGGTTGTCCCAGTCAAATTGATGTCCATGGTTGTCTGTATGTAGTGATATGAGGGAGTGGATGTCACGTCTTTTGACGGCTACATTATGTTAGTGGATACGAAGACGAAGGGGACGTCTACTTTGGTCAATGTAGTGTTTTACGCAGTTGTTACAATTTATTTTGTAGATGATGGCTTTATCTTCTTTCATTGTTGATTCTTTTGGTTGACATAGAGGCAGCTAAGTGAAGTGATTTTGTTGGTTTGTGTGCAACGTCAATTCCTAAAGGTTTGAAGAGTCTTGCAGTGATTTCTATAATGTCTATAATACTTCCGAACTACGGAAGACTTCATCAGATACATGCGTGGATTCAATTCGCATTAGATTATCAACCAACAAGCCTCGCGCTCAAGTCCCACTCCACTTTAGTCTTAGCAACTGGATAGTATTATCACCCTTCAGACAGTAAGTTTAGCTCTTACCATAGTACAGCATAGATCTGCTTCCCGGTCAATCGAGCCCACACAGGGTTTTTTTCAAATGCTTGTGTCTATACACACCTTTCATGTGCTACTCCTAATACCATAATTGCCAAATACTTTTGTGGTGAGAGCTGTCTGCGAACAAGCCAAAATTGTAGACAACAGTTTACATCAGTGTTACGTCACGAATCGGGATCATGAAAAAAAAACGATAAAAGAACTTAACCCAGAGGACCTCACCAACCAATCACAGCAGACTCAACTTGTGCAAATAGGATTTGCAAATATATGGCTTAACTTTCTGAGAAACTGTCACAAGCAGTACAGAATAACTTTCAGCAAGAAAACAAACAATCAGAAGACGTTGCGGCAACAGTAAAGAATGGACATCAAAGTCGAATGACCTTGAATCTACCAGTTATATTCTTCCAGGTGAAAAGTGGCGCTTACTTTTTAAAAATTTGTATTTATGAAACATATATGTAGTGGAACTGAATAATACAGATGCTTTAGAAACTGGTCCCAGTTTCTCATAGGAGTGTCTGTAGTCATATCAAACCAATGTCGATACAAAAATTCATCTAGCTGGCTGTATATCATAACGCGTCGGGAGGCATTTACTATCATAAAATGTGTTTTTTTAGATGGACCCAGAACCCTTCAATAGAATTTGTATGAGTCCCACTTATAGGATTTACTAATTCAGAATATTGTCCAATGATGATAGTTGCGAATAACTTTTCCACTCGAGTGTTTGAATGACAGTTCCCCCACCCCAGTCGTTGTATTAGAACATCTGGGTGAAACTTGCAACGAATATTATGAACAATATCCATGTGTAATGCCGAGTCATCTTATTGGTTGGTAAATTCAGGGCTATTTGACTTTGGTGTCTGTTCTTCACTCTTGCGGATGTTGCTTCTCCGCTGACAATTATGTACATAAAAATCTATAAATATTCTCTTGATTTTCTCAATAAACAATCTGTTGCCTGACCCTTGTCGTCTGGCGTTACACTTTTACATGCATGCATAAATGTTCACGTACTCATGGCCAAAAGTAACAATACCTGAAGTATGCGTTTCTTTATCAATATATAAAGATCTTTGTCTCATATCACTTCCAAAAAAGAAAGTGGTACCAGTACATACTGATGAGATCTTTATCAGCCAACCAACCAATCACAATAAAGCACAGTTTAAACAAAAGATGAATCAACCAATAAAAAATCAGTATATGTACATATATAAACAGAGTGTATGGAAAATTACTACAAAAAAAAGTTGGCCTATCTATGTGATAGATAATATGACAAGTTTAGTCCAGACGATTTACCGATAGGTCAAGGTTAGTTAGTACCTATCTAAAATCTATCACTATTCCCCACCTACACTAACTAATATAATACAATATTTGGCTGTTGTTGTTGTTGTTTTCTTTCTTCTCTAAAAAAGCATGTTAAAGCATAATAGTAATAGTGACACAAATTTGCATACAATACATTATAAATATGAAGGTCTTGTGTATACCAACTGTCAAGACAACAATGTGAACACCAGAAACAACAATTAGTAAATTCAATTACTGACTGACTTGACTGACTGAATAATTTTCAACATAGAACTAAGCAGGGAAATGAAGCACTTCAAGTTGCCAAACTACATTCACAACAAGCAAGGTAGGCAAAGCGAGCGAGCGAGCGCGCGCGAGAGAGAGAGGGTTAAAATGAATTCAAAAGAAGTTTAACAAGCAGACATGTGAGGCAGAAAGGAAAACAAAAAACGAGGGTTAATAAATACATATATATGGGTGAGTCATATTACCAATAGTCTCCATCCAACCATTGGGTCTTAGCAAGTTCTCAGCCAGGAATTCTACACCTACCTACATGACTGTCTTAAACGGATTGTTATGCATTTCATTGATTTGTTTTTTTCAAGTTTGACGACGGATTGATATGAGTTAGAGAACCATTGAAAACCGGAGTTTCATCCTAGTTTGGGACTCATCAGTAGTATGCATCCTGGATGTCTACAAACCAACTTTTGAAAATTTCATTCACTGATGAAGGCACGTTTTGGTTTGACTACCATTAGCTATTTTCCAAATTAAACAATCCTATGTTAGCTGACATAGCCCGTCAAGGAAGGCGACGGCTAGGAATGCGTAACACATATCCTAACCATCTCAATCGACTCACCTTCACAAGCTCATCGATTGATTTTCCCTCCTTAACTAGCACGCAACACCTAACCTCAGTATTACTCATCCTATTATACCACCTAACATGGATAGGCTTCTCATGTCTTACACTTTCAGTGGTCATGTCTCAATCACAGCCATAAAGGAGGACAGAGTGAACTGCTGCTGCAGTCCTTTGATAGACAGCCAGCAGGATATCACATCTACGTCAGAGATTATGCAGATTTGTAAATCCTAAATAAGCCTTCTGTATCCATGTTGAGATTTCGTCAGCCATCAACCCGTTGGGACTGGCTGATGAAACTTCACAAATAGGTGAAGTGGTCAACACTCTCTACCACTTCACTTCCTATCTTTAAGCTAGGAATGAGTTGATGTAATCCAGTCCTGTAGTATCACCTTACATGTGACATGACATCAGTCAATGAAATCCACAACAGTTAGTTTAAGCCAGTCACGTAGGAAGGTGTAGACTTCCTGACTGGTTTGGGTCCTCGGGATGGTAAAAACTAATGGCTGGAGACAATTGGTGATACGGCTCAAAATCGTTCTCAATGACTGGCGTAGATGCATCCACTCCTTGTGACTTATAATATCCAATAAAACTATATAGTTCCTCCATACTACTACTCTTTTTGTCTCATATCTCTGTATACTGTCTCTGTTTTGCGTTTCTTTTTACTTTCTTCTCTTGCTTTGTGTGCTAAGTGAAGTGTGGCGATTCGAACTGCCGCACATCGGTGCAAAGTTCTACGTTGAAACCAAGTCAGTCAGCCAGTGACAGGAGATCTCATGCTAAACATTCGAAGATTGCTCCTCAAAGTGTTCAGAAAACTCTGCTTTTTGTCAGCATCTTCACCTAGGAGGAGTATATATCATGCACATATTCTCAGACAACAAGACAATTTCCGTGGCAACAAGTCAATCTCTGAGTCACTACAGTCATTTAGGGTTCACTTCAATAGTACAACATCTAATGATGAAATTAAACAAAAATGCTGACAGTGGAAATTAATCATTTTTAACTCACTTTAACTGCTACTTCTTGAATTATCCCACTATCCAAGTGTAATCTACCACGATACACTTCACCGAATTCTCCTTCACCAAGTCTATACAACAGGATAACTGCATCACTAGGAATTAGTCGAAGTTCCCCCGATCCACTAGTTGATCCAACACATGAAGTACCAGAAGCAGTTAATTGTAAACCGGCGGCAACTGGAAGGAGACCACCACCGCCGCCACTAGACATACCAGAGATGCCTGAACTTGAAGAACTATGATGTTTTCCCTGAAAGGAAATTGTACAAACAAAAAAGTGGAAATCAATTTACTATCACATACTTTCAACAATAGGAATAATAATAATTTGCTTTATCCAAAACAGTAATTATATGCATTGTGGAATTCTCCGCATTTGGTATGGTATTGTATCTAATTTGCTCGACAACAGGAAAAACAAAACCAAAAATAATACTACAGGGTGTTCGTAACCAGGATGGACAACAGCAGCCTTTTGGCACTAGCAGCAGTGACAATCAAGTCAAAAATGTACACAAAGTGTAAAAATGATAACAATAATAATGTTAATAATTAAAATTACACGATAACTGATATTGTTCTTCTTGTTTCTATTCCTTCACGTTCCCAGTGGAGCATAGGGCGGCTTCAAGCTAGAGGTTTGAAGTTTCTGTAGCAGTGGTGTTTCCTTTTTACGGGATGGGGTTGCTAGCCTCATGCCCAACCTTTCCTCTTAACCAGTCTTACTAGTGGCTTAGAGACGTAAAGGAGTGCATCGGCCGGGGATCGAACCCCGAACCACATGAGGCGCGGTTGGCGAGTATTCTACCACTGTGCCACCGATGCACGATAACTGAAATAGTGCCACCATTATAATTATGAATAAGAGAAGATAAAAGAGCCATTTATTTTGCCGATTACGTAATAAGTTGCAAGTCTCACGCTTAACACTATTTCTATCGGGCAAAACGGGGTAACGTTGGGTTTTGAACTTGGTTGTACGAGTGAGGATATTATCTTTTATAATGACTTCTAGTCCCACATGATGATGAGATGGAAGGAGAGGAAAGATGAGAATAGAGAGGTTGTTGACAATCAGACAATATGAATTTAGACCATTTCTCACATGAGTTCAGATGTCTGTCAACTACAATAGTAACAAACCAGCTGACTAAGTGGCACACTACTCACCCTACTCACAAACTTTAATATCATTTGCAATATGATATAGTATTTTTTGAGTAGCCCAGGAAAGGCTAAGGTTAAAACAAATGTAATCCTTATAAACCAACTCTTGAAAATTAAATGTGATGCTCGCTAGTGACTTGTTATAGGACGGAGTTTCCTGGAGTTCTAGTGTGAAGCCGTGATCATTGAGGTTCATCCAGTCAAATGTGAGGATGGATGTCTCGTCGATGACATTGGCCGGTGCCAGTCGCGCTAAATCACGAATTTGAAGGAGTTAGAATTCATGGAATGGCCATTGAATTGGGTCCCAGTAGCTGAATGGTTTACGAGCTAGCTCACCTTGTAACCAGAAGGTCCTGGGTTCGAACCCCCTGGCGGTGGGTGCGTACTGCCGATGATTACCAAATTAGTTGGATGAAACAGCTGTCTGGCAGTACTCCCTGCTGGTTTTCAATGCTCCTCTAACTTATATTCATCCGTGGTCAAACTCGTAAAAACAAAGATGGAGCAGTAAAGTACAGTAGGTAAAATGTAATAGTTAACAAAATGTAAAAGTAGAGGTTGAGTGATTCCAGACTGTCTTAACATTATCAAATCCCTACAAAATAACTCTTAGAAATTAATATGATGCTCACTAATGTGACTGACTACAGGATGAATTTGCCTGGAATCCTAATGAGAAGACGTGATTAGTGAGGGTTCCACCAGGTCAAGTTTGACGACAAATATACTCGCCGATAACATTAGCTGGTGGCCTCACTAAAATCGCGAATCGACAGAAGTTAGCATTCACGGGTCAAAATGATTGAATAGTCAACAACCTTGACCTCGTGACCTGAAGATCCCAGGTTCGATTCCTGGTTGGGCTATGGGTGTGCACCGCTAGAGAGTCCCAAACTAGGACAATCCTTACAAACTAACTCTTGAGAATTATTACAGATATCATTTAAAAAAACTGAGTGTAAAGCGCATACCTGATTCGATTTATTCTGTCCATGACGTGAGTTTCCTTTAGCTATCGACATAGACAACGGTGCACCCATACGACCACCGTGTATACTGGATGAGATTGTTCTCAACGCCCATGCATCACCACCACCACTAGAAGCGGATGATTCAACTTTGCGTAATTCTCGACCATTATTATTGTCTAAATTTTGTGTTGTTAATTGTTCTATATTAGTAACTCGACCAGATGGTGATATTGCGTAGTGTAGGCGTACAGGGATACCATCTGCAAAACGACTGTAATGCTCAACTAAATGCTCTAAAGATAAATGAAGTGGACCCTAAATAAAAAGAAAAACCAATTAATGAGAATTTGTTGAATAAAATAAAAAGTTATAAAAGGGAAACCAGACTCAGGACAATACAAATTAATACATACGTACACATATGCCTAGTGAGTCTAAACGTTAGTAGTTGGAACAGTGGTCGAACTCAGGAGAGACCGTAGTTAAGAGCCCATGTCAATAAATCACAGCATACAGTAAGGTAGTCTTACAAGTCAAGGAATCTTTAATGACCGACATGGCTGTGACACGTTTACTCGGAATGTTACGTGCTATAATAATATGGATGAGCAGTATTGAACTTAGACGTAAAGTTACAGGATTTCATCATGAGCTGATATCGGTTAGACAACCATGTTAGCTCATGATGAAGTCATGTAACCAATCAAATCATATCCCTGCAAACCAACACTTGAATATCAATCTGATGCTCACTAGCGACTGATGCTATTCAGGTAGGTAGTAGTTACCTGGGTTTTAGTGAGAAGTCGTGACCAGTGACGTACAGCAGGTCGGATATGAGGACAAATACTCCCAATCGATGAATTGTCTGTCTCTCTATCTGTCTGGTTTCGACATAGAACTTTGCACCGATGTGCAGCAGTTCAAGTCGCCACACTGCCTCCATGTAGCACACAAAGCAAGAGAAGAAAGTAGAGACAGTAGACAGGGATTTGAGACAAAAGGAATAGTAATAACGAAGAACAATATAATTTCATTGGATATTATAAGTCACAAGGAGTGGATGCATCTGCGCCAGCCATTGAGAACGATTTTGAGCCATCCCGAAGACCCCAACCAGTCAGGAAGTCTACACCTTCCTACGTGACTTAAACTAACTGTTGTGGAGTTCATTGACTGATGAGGCCATGTTTTGATTTGACCACCACATGCTAGCTCTTTTCCAGCATGACCCTACGTCAGTCAGCTAACATTGCTTGTTGTCGAGGAAGGCGATGACTAGGCATGCGTGTGTAACAAATGTCCTAGCCATCTTAGTCGATGTAGCTTCACAGCCTCGTCAGTTGATTTCCCCTCCCACCTACCTAGCACTTGACGCCTAACATCAATATTGCTTACCCTACTATACCAATTCACACGGGAGATAGAACGAAGGCACCTATGATCAAAGACAGCTAATCTTTTCATGTCTTCCATTCTCAATGGCCAGGTCTCACATCCATAAAGGAGGACGGAGCGGACTGCTGAGCAGTACATCCGCCCTCTGGTCGATAGCTGGATATCACGTCTACTGCCAGAGACGGTGTAAACTGGCATTTGCGAAACCAGCCCTCTGTATCCTTACTGAGATTTCGTCAGAGATCAACCCGTTGGGGCTGATGGTACTTCCCAAATAAGTGAAGCGGTTAACGTGCTCTACCACTTCACTCCCTATTTCTAAACTAGAAGTCAGTGTAGTCCAGTCCTGTAACATCATCTTACATCCCGACCGATAGCTGCTACCTTGACGTGGTGGTCGAGCTTGCACATCTCAATGACCCAACAAGCTACACTGGCTGGAACTATTGTTCCTGTAGGTCCTACCATGCCAGGAAGGTTGTGTTAGGATAGCGATTAACTAAAGCAGTTCGGCATGTGTAAGAATTTCCTTCTAACATTATGCTGGGGGGTCTGTGGATGAAGGCATACTTCTGGGGAACAGGGATGTAACAGCAGTGAGGTGTTTCTCTCAGACGACCAGCATCCCAGCTATGCTTTCTCTGTCTCTCCACTATGGAGAGAGCGGGTTAGATAAGGTCGACCCCAAAAATTGTATATCCTGACTTACCCTACGGTAGTCCGTAACCGGCGGTAAATTTACTAATACGGAACCAAAGGAAGAAACCAGGCCGTGTGACTGGCCTCAAGCAGTTTTCCCTTGGGCTCTGCGGTCACGCAACACAGTGTGGGCAGCCGGGAAGTAACAACCGCCCACACACTTCCAAAAGCATTTCTGCTGCACAAAGAGTACGCTGCTGCGTTCATAAAGTTCTACTCTGAAAAATCAGTCCATCAACTCTGAGTGAAAAATCACCACATTGGTTGTCTCTTCAACAGGCTCTCTGATTGGAGTTCATAATACCGCTGAAACCAATAACTGCGCATTAGGTAATATATATTCTAAAGATAGAGGTATTTCATATCTGCTATTGACTTGGTTCGATTCTCATCACTGCTGGAATTTTCAGGCTTACCTCTCTTTTCGCTCCCAAGTACTTCCTCTTATTTTAATGTAATCTATTGTGCACACAGCTGTTTTCAAGAAAAACACACTCTTTTTACTGGACACATCAACGAAAGTTAGTGGTGGCTAGCAGTAGGATCTAGGACACAGATTTTGTCCTATTTGTGACTCATTTTACATGGATGTACTTGGATCCCGATGATTGATGGTTTTCCAAATAAAACTTGAGACCAAAATCAAACCCTTTCAAAAGTATTAATATATTTGTAAAACTTGGGCACTGTGGTAGTAAGTAATTCCATATTAGTTTGTTTATTAGATGTATCACACAGTGAAACAGTATTATTTACTGGATGACGTTTCGAACAAAGACAACACCAAAAATAAGGAATCTAAATCATCGGTAGTAATTCCATACAAGGAAGGAACCTCGGAAACCTTACGCAGAATTCTTAACAGTGCAGGCAGGAATAAAAATGGCTGGCATTTAAACCACACACAAACTCAATTAGAAACAAGCTTTGTCGGTTAAAGGATCAATCCTGTGGAGCCTGTAAAACAAAACAATTTAGTTTATCTAATACCCTATCTGCAATGAGTGTCAGCTCAAATACATGGGTCGAAGTAGCAGAACAGGTGCAGTCAGACTAGCCAAACATAAAAACCCAGCAGCAAAATCTAGATTAATTGAGCCGAATAAGATAAGAAATCTAGAGAATAGTTCAGCTATACCACTCACTTCATGCAATTACATACAACCATACAATAGGATGACGGGATAAGATGACAGTTTTAAAATCTGATGTAACAGCAGGGTGGAGGGAGAGATTGATAACAGAAGCTTTGTTTATCGAATCGACTGCAAACACGTGTAATAGGAATGATTCAACACCTGTTCACCCAGATATCTGGAAAATCCTACTACTTCAAAGACGACAGATAGGAAAGAACATAGAGAACTATAAAATTGAAGTTTCGAAGTTGTGTGATTATAACTGATGATATGATTATGAACCGCAATAAATTTTGTTCGAAACCTTGTCATCCAGTAAATAATACTGTCTCACTCACTGTGTAATCCATCTAATAAACAAGCTGATATGGAATTACCTTTTAAACGTAAATGAATTACGAAAGTCACCCATTCTGCATCGGTTATTTGTTATGATTTATGGATTCCACTGCTAGCCAACCAATCACCAAACAAAACACCTTCAAGTTGACCACAATACGTCAGAAAAGATTCCGTACCAACTGGAAACTCAGCAGTTTCAATAACTTAGAATAGGCTCGCCTGGTAACGTGAAGTTCCTGGATTCAGTCCCTGGAAGAGGGAGGGGTACTAAACTAGAATGAAATAGGTGTCTAACATGAAACCTCATCGAATCCGTTTAAAACCAAACACATACACAAGAAAAGACAATTTACCTTATCAATAAAATATGCTTCTTTTGTATCCATATGAAATGAGAAATCGACTACTTCAATTTGATATTTTAATGTTTGATGTTGATAGTATAGGACAAGGACAAATTTCCTCTCTGACTGTGATGATCGTCGGATTAAAAATGCACCATCTTTTGTTGCTAAACAATTTGAAAATATTTTATCTGTTTCAGATTTCGACAGAGAAGGATGAAACCAATCACTCTGTTAAAAAAAAAGAGGAACAGAGACAAAACAAGAATATCAATATAATAGTAATAATAATAATAATACAATTTGAGAACTACTCACACACGTGTTTTCCTAAGAGACACTAAAGCTACATTTCTTAAGGGGAAATTAGTGACACTTGAAGGCTTCATCAGCTGGGTGTTTTTGTATAGACCTTAAAGTTATGCATTCATTCATATAATCTGCGACTACATTGTCCTTATGTAGCTAATAATAATAGTAAAAATAATAATAATTTGCTTTATTCCAGAACAGTAATTATGTTACAGTGTGGAATTTTCAGCATTTGGAACAATATTGCATCTAATTTGATCGAAAAAAAACAATTATAAGGATTAGTTTTGACGAGTTGATCACGGATTGATATCAGTTAGAGAACCACCAGAGAGTACTGCCAGATAGTTGTTTTATCCTAGTTTGCGAATCATTGGCAGTACGCACCCACCCCACAAGGGTTCGAACCCAGGACCTTCCGGTTACAAGTCAAGCTAGCTCGTATAACATTCAGCCACTGGGACCCGATACAATGGCCAGTGCATGAATTCCAACTTCTACTAATTCGTGATATTTAGCGCAACCGCCAGCAAATATCATGGGCAAGTAACTATCTTCTTGACTGACTCAGAGGATCCAACTGATTACGACTTCCCATCACTAGAAACCCAGGTAACTGCCTGTATAGGGTCAGTCGCTAATGAACATCAGATTAATTGTCAAGCCGAGGAGTACTGAAACAAAACACCTTTCCCTTCTCCACTTCAGCACCTCCCAGAAATGCGCACTAAAGACCCTGTCAGAACTAGGACCTACAGGTTACAAGGCAAGCTGGTCGATCATTTAGTTAGCGGCACGGAATTCGATGAAGCTAAACGTTTGTCAATTCACCACATAGTGTCACAGACCCGTCCGCCAATTATATTCATGAGCACTTACTTCACAACCCAGCATGGTGGGCACCCTGCCGGCTAAGACCTTTTCTTTATTCATTGAAACAGAAAAATTTATGATATTATTTAGTACATAATTTTCAAAAGATTATCCAGTCTGAAATTTTGAAAGCATTCCCAAACAATTTCATATATCAACATGATTGGATGGCGTCAGTGGCATAGCGGTTAGGACGCTCGCCAACCATGCACATGGTCCGGGGTTCGATCCCCGACCAACGCACTCCTTTACCTCGCTAAGCCAGAAATAATGCTGGTGAAGAGGAAAGGTTGGGCATGAGGCTAGCAACCCCATCCTGTAAAATAAACACTGCTACAGAAACTTCAAGCCACTAGCTTGAAGCCCTATGTTCCACTGGGGAACGTGAAGGAAAAAAAATGCTTGGATACCATATTCATTCAATTCCCACACTTCATTTACTTACTGGCTGAAATAAGTGTTATTATCCCATATTATAATATGTTAATCCACAACCTTTTGTTCATAGGTGTCTGCGTTCTACCTACATAACGTGTTAGGTGGTGGGTGTTATAGAGTGGGTACTATAGAGATGAGGTATCAGTCGAGTATTAGGTAGGAGGGAGCTACATTCAATCGATGAGGTTGTGAAATGACATCGACTGAGATGCCTAGCCATCGCCTTCCTCGACAACAGGCAATGTTAACTGGCATAGGATGGATCAGGTTGGAAAAGAGATGGCACACCGTGGTCAAACGAAAACAATGTCTCATCAGTTAATCAAATCCATAACGGTTAGTTTCAGTCAGCTAGCCTGCCAGTCACGTAAGGAGGTGTAGACTGACTACCTGACTTCGGGACAGTAAGAACCAATGAAGGCTGGAGACAATTAGTCATATGGCTGGCTCGAAATCCTCGTTGTCCAATGAATGGCGCAGATGCATTCACTCACTCTTTGTGATTTGTCATATCCAATGAAACTCTATTGTTCCTCCATATTACTTACTATTCTTTTTCACTCACTAACTCACACTTCTGTTTATTATCCCTCTTTTGAAACTCAGCAAACATGCTTTTTCGTTGTTATTATGATTCCAAAGAAAGTTAGTACAACGCCCCTCTCAAAACTTTCTCAAATGTATATGGACCCTAGGTAAGAAGTATATCGTTGCAAACTTGACGACAAGACATTAATACATACAATGATTAATACACAAGAACTCAACTGCACCGTGCATAACTAATGGTTATGAGTTAACTACTCCACTCCTTACCTCCATCCCCCCCCCCAAAAAAAACAGCTTGGATGACATTACTAGTTGATAAACCAAAGTAGATAAGATCAATAAGTCATGATCTCATCCTTAGGTAATAATAGCAGTAGTGTGGTGAGTACTACTTATTATCAGATATAAGTAGTATATCAGTAAACGAATGTAGAAAAGTAACAATATGTTTTGGGTGTCACTGGAAAAAGCAATCGAAGAAGAGAACTGTGAGAAGAACGTTAGAAACACTGTGCAGAACCATCCAACAAGTTATTGAAATGGTGATATTCGACCAATTTGAAAATGATGTGCAAAATAAAGCATTGAAGATACGGTAAGATTGTAAAGTTACATCGATTGAAATGCCTAGCCATCGCCTTCCTCGACAACAGGCAATGTTAGCTGACATAGGATGGATCAGGTTGGAAAAGAGCTAGCAGTTGGCAGTCAGACCAAAACATGGTTTCATCAGTCAATCAAATCCATAACAGTTAGTTTCAGCCAGCCAGCCAGTAGCGTAGGGAGGTGTAAACTGACCTTCTTATTGGTTGGAGTCCTCGGGATGGTAAAACCAATGAAGGCTGGAGACAATTAGTGATCTGGCTAGCTCGAAATTCTCGTTGTCCAATGAATGGCGCGGATGCATTGATTCATTCACTCTTTGTGTGTCATCATATCCAAGTGAACTCTATTGTTCCTCCATATTGCTTACTATTCGTTTTCACTCACTCACACTTCTGTTTATTATCCCTCTTCCGAATCTCTCTCTATTCGCTCTATTCTCTCGCTTTGTACGCTATAAAGAGGGAGTGTGGCAACTGGAACTGGTGCACATCTGTGCAAAGTAGTTCTAAGTTAAAAACAGACAGTTAGTCATTTATCTTTACCAATAGTTAAGGCTACAGAAATGGTGGTTAAACAGTTCTTAATTAGAATAGGCTAAACACCTGCGTTAGAATTCAATGGCCTATTTACCAACCAACCAATCAACTAACTAACACCAGCTATCTAACACTGATCCACACAATAATAATAATAACTAACCCCTACAAACCAAACTATAGAAAATTAATCTGATACTCGCTAGTGACTTGCTACAGGATGGAGTTTCCTGGAGTCAGTTCTAGTGATAAGTCGTGACCAGTAAGGTTTATCCAGTCAAGTGTAAGGATGGATGTCCCACCAACAACAATGGTTGGGGTCGCGCTAAATGCATTACGAATTGCTAGAAGTTAGAATACATGGTCTAGTCATTGTATCGGGTCCCAGTGGCTGAATGGTATACGAGCTAGCTTGCCTTGTAACCAGAAGGGCCTGAGTTCGAACCCCTGACGGTGGGTGCGTACTGCCGATGATTCCCAAACTACTTGGATGAAACAGCTGCCTGGCAGTACTCCCTGATGGTTCTCTAACTGATATCAATCCGTGATCAACTCGTAAAAACATAACTAACCCTTACAAACCAAACTATAGAAAATAATAATAGTGAATTGGAATATACTGATATTGCCAACATTATTATTATTATTATTATTATTATTATTATTATTATTATTATTATTATTGATAATCAGAAATTAGGTCAAATTCACTAACTAATCTTTAAATTCAGAAGTGAATTTCAACTGGCTGTCCAACTGTTTATTCATGTGATAAACAGAAGTAGGTGTAGAAGTAGAAGTAGACGGGAAAGAAGAGGTGAGATGAAGTGTGATTCCATAACTTTATTCATTTCACAATTCATGTATTACAGATGCTATCTGTGTATTTCGTGCGTGTGTGTGTGTATGTGTGGCTGTACCCGCTGACTAATATTTTTCGCCAACACCACCCATGTAATATAAATATATAATCGACCTTTTCCAATACTGATACCCATAATAATGTCAGAACATTATTCTGTTATGATTTATTATTATTATTATTATTATACAAATATAAAATAGGTATAATCTGAGTGATAGTATACACATATACATGACCCTCTATTAGCGTTATTTACAATCTACCTTGTGTTTGATTGACTCGTTGTAATCGTGAGAAAGTCAGTGGTGCTTGTTCGTGTGTGGTATAGTGTGTGTGTGTGGGTGGGTGGGTGGAACGTACAATGTATTTCATCACTAATAAAGTTTATTTGTTAATCTATGGATTATATTACCTTTAGATTGCATAATAAGTAGATCTGTAACTTATTGGTTTCAACTCTCGATCCCCAACCAATGAGTCATGGGTTCGAAATCCGTTCCACCTGCTGAACACCGAGGAAGTATCACTAGCTTTCACATGATACATGTGACTGACTGACTGGTTTGAACATAAAACTTTGCACAGAAGTACAGAAGCTCGAGTTGCCACATTCCCTCCATGTGGCACACAAACCAACAGAAGAGAGTAAGTAGGGGGAGATGCAAAAGACAGATAATTAACAGAAGTGTGAGTGAGTGAGTGAGTGAGTGAGTGAGTGAGTGAGTGAGTGAGTGAGTGAGTGAGTGAGTGAGTGAGTGAGTGAGTGAAAAAGAATAGTAAGTACTATGGAAGAACAATAGAGTTTAATCGGATATGACAAGTCACAAAGGGTGAATGAATCAATGCATCTTTGCCATCCATTGACAACGAAGATTTTGAGCCAGCCAAATCACTAGTTGTCTCCAGTCTTCATTGCTTCTTAACATCCAGAGGACCTCAACCAGGAAGTCTACATCTCCCTATGTGGCTTAAACTAACTATTGTGGATTTCTTCCATTGAATTTTAGATTTTCCCGTCGATTGATTGGACCGAAGTGCTCGGTCTCAGGTTGACATGCCGGATTCTTGTGCAGATGCTTCGATGATGTCTGGGCATTCAATTGGTATTTAATTGGTGGATGGTGACTAGCAGTGGAATCCAGGATGCCCATTTCGTCCTGTTTGGGACTCGTCATATGGATGTACCTGGGTGTACCTGAGATCGAGCACTTTGGTCCAATCAATCGACGAGAAAATGTAAAATTCAATTAAATAATGAATATGACCCGTTGCACAAGAGGTGGCTCTCGTGGCCCAATTGGTCTAGTGGATAACGCTTTGGCGTTTGAAACTATGGGCGATGGGTTAGAGCCTCGGTGGGAACATCATCACTCACTGAGAAATGCAGGTACATCCAGATGACGATTCCCAAATAGGACGAAATGCGCATCCTGGATTCCACTGCTAGTTACCATCCACCAATTAAATATTGTGGATTTCATTCTGTCCGATCAGGTAGGGGAACTAGAAGCAACTATAGGAGACTTTATGCTCAGTTTTCTAAGTATAAAAACTCTACAATACCTTATTTAGCAGGCACACATTTTATGTGACGAGAAAAGTGTGTAAGGCATGGTACTACCAACTTACTACGGACCTACTCTTTTTCATCGTTACAATGTTATTGATATTTTCACTTAATTTGATTTTAATATTCATATCCTTATCGAACAATATTATCAATGTAAATGCCCTGGTTTAATTATTACCCCTGTAATGAGTAAGGTTGATGCAATACTGTACTACTGAATGCTGAAAATTCCATATTTTTGCCAAAAAATACTATTTGAAATAAAAGCTAATGTGCGATTTTACGGAAAATGACTTAGATTTTTGTTCACACACATTAGTCGACCACACAACAAGCCGAGGTACTAAAATATGCTACCTTCCATCTTTTCACAGACACAGACAAACAAACACACAAGAAGTCTTGGTAAAAAAAAGGCAAACAGAAATACCCCCACACACACACACTTACCTGAGTTGTAATCGCTGGAGCCGGTTTATAACCGGCTAGTGCAGCAGCTAAATCAGCAAATCCATAGCGTAGTGCTAATTCGAAAGGCATTTCCGCTTCAGCATTTCTTGCCCATGGAGCAGCATGATAACGCAGGAGACAATTGACACAGTCTGCATGACCCAGCATTGCTGCTTCATGCAGTGCTGTATTCCCCGAAAATGGACATTTGATTTGTGGATTAGCTCGACCGACACGTAGGAGAGTTTCAGCAACATGAGCAAAACTCTTTTGGCACGCCCGATGTAGAGCTGTGAATCCACCACAATCTCTTAGATTTACAGATGCATTGTGTTCAAGTAAAAGCTAATTAGATTTGGAAATAATTAGATAGAGGTGTATTATTAAACAAGTTAAGTCGAACAGGATAACTGAATAAGCACATTTTCCAAACTGTTGTGGTGAAAAAACACAATATCGAAAATATCACATGACTCCCTATTTACACGTCTGACTGGAGAGTTAATAGTACACCTACCTTCCTTCCTGGCGCCCAAATACAATCAAGATTAAATAATATTAAGTCGAATTGACTACATAAACTTTCGTCTCGCCTTCGTAAGCATCTTATCAGACTTTGACGCCATTTTGCGTCTTCTTGTGTGCTGCTTAACATGAACATTCTACGAGTCTGTAGATCAGCTATATATTCACCAATTAAATTCAATAATTCCTTCCCTGTAATAGTTCATAGCCTCTATCAGGCAAATCCTACTTCCTGCCTTCATGAGGTAGGGATGTTCCTCACAAAAGTGAAAGGATGTACATGTCTTGAATAATATTTACAAAAACGTTTATAGTAGAAACAATATACAGAGAAAGTGAGATAACTGTCTTATTAATATATGTGTGAAACTTCGGCACTGTGGTAATAAGTAATTCCATATTAGTTTGTTTATTGGATGTATCACCACATAGTCAGTGAAACAGTATTATTTACTGGATGACAAGGTTTCGAACACAATTTATTGCAGTTCATAATCATATCAATTGTAATCACACGACTTTGATACTTGAGTTTTATAGTTTTCTTTGTTCTCTCCTATTTGTCGTCGTTGGGGTAGTAGAATTTTCCAGATATCTAGGTGGACAGGTGTTGAGTAATTCCTACTACACGTATTCGCTCTCAGTTGATTCGATAAACAAATCTCCCGCTATCATCAATCTCTCCCTCCACCCTGTTATATCAGTTATATTTTGAAACTGTCATTTTATCCCATCCAGCCTATCGTATGATTGTGTGTAATTGCATGTAGTGTAGTGCTATAGCTGAACTATTCTCTAGATTTCTTATCTTATTCGGGTCAACTAATCTAGATTTTGCTGCCAGGCTTTTTATACTCCGCTAGTCTGACTGCACCTGTTCTACTGCTTTGACTTATGTATTTTACCTAACAATCATTTCAGGCAGGGTATTAGATAAATTAAATTGTTTTGTTTTAAAGGTTCCTTCAAATGAGTTTGTGGGTTTGCATGACAGCCAATTTTATTCCTGCTTGTATTGTTAAGAATTCTCCGTAACGTGGTTTCCGAGGTTCCTTCCTTGTATGGAATTATTACTGATGATTTAGATTCCTCATTGTTGGTGTTGTCATTATCCTGTGCACGTTTGACAAGCACGTCGTCATTAATATTACTGCTATTATTATTACCACTATCACTACTATCATTATTAATTTTATTTTTACATTTTCCTACATACTTTCTGACTAATTTATCAGGATAATTATTGATTAAGTTTCAAAGATTCTCTTATATGCCTCACTTCCCGTCTTAAATTTTCCTTAGTACTACTTAGTTTTTGTGCTCTATTATTTAAACATTTCACCAATCCTACTTTCACTGATATAGGATGAGATGATTGGAAGTCCAAATATCTGTTTCAATGTGTGGCTTTCCGGTAAACACTAGTGTTTAACTTCCCATCTTCTTTCTTTTTTACGCTGCAATCTAACATTGGAAGTTCCCCTTCCTGACTTTCCAATTCATAAGTGAATTGAATTGCCTCAACCTTCGAGTTAATGTGTTCGAAAAATCTATCTATATCCTGTGTTCTAAGTACAGTGAATGTGTCATCTACATACCTCCACCATACTTTTGGGATGGGACTGAACGTTTCAAACCCTATGTTTTCCCACCTATCCATGAATATATCTGCCACAGTCGGGGATATTGGTAACTCCCTCAGTTCGTTTGTATACATTCCCCTTAGAATTTAAATACTATGGAAGTCAGGCATAGCTGCACTCCCAGCATCACTGTTTATTAGATATATCACACAAACTAATACGAGATAACTGTCTACTTCTAAGCAAATATCCCCAAGTTGAAATCAGACGCAAGATGCCTCCAAAGCCTCAGGATGGTCGGGGGTGGGTGCCTTGCGCTGCGGGTTGGCCACCCCTCCTCACACCTCTTGAAATGCTCCCTTATGACCGGGCGTCTTACATAGCCTCTCCTGAGGAAGTCCTACTCACTGCCTTCACGTGGCGGAGGTGTTTTTCACCAAAGTGAGAGGGCGAAAGCGGATGCCCGGCGCTCTTCACCGGGTTGACTGTCCATTGGATGACAGTCTAGGGGAGATGGCTAAACCCTGATTCCAAACCTCCAACGACTGGCGTATGAAGCTCATTGGAGCTCACCGGCAGACGTATGGACAAAGGGCTTGTTGGATGCCCTGGATGTCTGGCCCCATTCAAAAAGATGTATGAACCGAACTCCGGTCACCGGCTGCCAATGGATAGTGGACTCCTACTCCACTCCTACTGCCTTGTAGGTCACACTTGGTTGTGTAAAGGCTAGAGCTGCACTCTCAAACAAAAGGCCGAGCGATTCTGGGGAAATCACTCGTACGAAATTCCCATGAAACTCCATGAACTCTCTTACAAACGAGGTACAATCAAGGCTGATATGGAGTGCCTGGGACTACAAACCGCCTACGGACTCCGTCTGTGGAACAAGAATTGGACAACCCTGTCGCAAAACCTTGCATCAGATCGCCGCGCCTGGGCAGCGATGATTCGAGATGTTCATGAAGCCGGCTCATCCTCTCGTAGGAGATAGCCGAAGTAAGACAAGAAGAAGACTCTTTATCATCATCAAGGTTTCATACTTTACTAGCACTCATCAGCTAGCATTCATCCCTGTAACCTCAAAAAAACTGATATTCCTTCAGAGACTCAAACTCATTTTAACCCATCTCTGAAATTAGAAGCACTCCCATACAGCTAAGGCCATGCGTGATCACCTGTTCGACTATAACGAACACACTGATTGTTCATTCACTAAGGTATGTAACCAACATCATGTGTTTAGTCCTCCATGTTAGTGCTGACTGACTTCTATCCACCAGCCTAGGTGTATCTAGCCATCGCAGTGTACTTTGAAGTGATGTTAGACAGTTGAGGAGAATCGGCAAAAAGCCCCTGGAACTCGATTTCATGGGGGGTGAAACCATGGCTGATATAATTCAGCCAGTAGTGAGCACTAAACACACGATATTGTTTATTCCATAGTGACCATAAAATAGATACAATGTTCAACAAAATTACAAACATCAATAATTTATACCATACTGTGGTGAGAGCTGGCCGCTAGCCAAAGTTGGTAGACAGTAATTGACGTCAATGTTTATGTCCCAAATATTGCTGGTGAAAAAATGAGAACAAAGTCTTTGCGTAGGCGGATACAGTTAGCATATGGATGACCTGACACAGTCACAAAGCGATGCAAGTTCAACTTTCTGTTAGAAAGAACCAATCAAAAGACTGTATTTTCTACTAACAATAATCTACAATAATGTACATTAAAATCTATAAATATGTGTTGATTTTCCTTAATAAACGATCTGTTGCCTGGCCCTTGTCTTCTGTTGTTACAATACTACAGTGATTTGTTTAATACCAACTAGAGTTGGTTTATCTTCAATACAGTCAAATTGAAGTAAGCAGCAGTACAAAGATTTGATAATTATTAAATGAATATTGATATAAGAATAGAACTTGTGCACTATGGTAGAGTATGGGTAAAATTTATTTTGATAAAGTTTCACAGTGGTGTTATGCAGTAATATTTACTACTGATGATAACGTTTCGAGCACATTTTTTTACTGCTCATAATCATATCAAGGCACTACTCACACAACTTTCTAACTTCATTTATATAATTCTACCATTATTTTCCATCGCTTGATTTGATTGGTAGTAGTATTCTCCATATTTCCGGTATGAGTGATGAGTCATTCCTATTGCATGTGTTGAGTGTAGACTCGATGAACCAGGAAGGATTCAGCAATCAACCTCTGTCTCCACCTACCTAGATTAATTTTTAGAATTTTAACCCTCTCCCACCTTATTGTGTGTTAATGCATGCAGTGCGATTGCTGAGCTTTTTTCTAAATTACTTATCTTCTCGAGGTCAAACATTCTTGCTTTAGCTAAATTCTTATGTTCCGACAAACTGACTACCCCCGACTTACTAGTTTGACTTGTGTAGCTGACCTCACAGTCATTGCAGGGTATTTTGTAAATTATATCATTTTGTCTGATTGGGTCAACTGGGTCCTTTAGTCTACAGAGTTTGTCTCTGAGTGAGTTTGTAGGTTTGAATGCCACTCTAACTCCTGCTTTATTAAGAATCCTACGTAGGGTCTCAGATGTCCCCTCCTTATATGGTATAACAGTAGATGACTTATATTCTCTCTTATTTATGTTATCATTACTAGTTTCACAATTATTTTTATTTCGCTTTTGGCCTTTACTGATCTTCCTAATGAATTTTATAGGATAGTTATTTGATACCAACGCTTCTTCCATCTGTTTTATTTCGTCAATTAGGTCTTTTCTTGTACTACTTAGTGCTATTGCCCGGTTTGTTAGACGCTTAAGTAACCCAACCTTTACAGACAAAGACGGATGAGATGAATTAAAGTCTAAATATCTATAATCAGAATGCGTTGGTTTTTTATAAACACCAGTGTGCAGTTTACCTTCTTCTATTTGTTTTATTTTACAATCTAACATCCAAGCTAATTCTCCTTGTTCATTTTCCGATTCAAATGTGAATTTTATTCCCTCCACTAGTGAGTTTATGTGTGTCAAGAAGCTAGAGAGAAATATGTTCTGTTTTTAACACTGTGTGTGAAAGTGTCAGTCATCCACATATCTCCACGATATTTTTGGAGTAGGATTAAATGTTGTATTAAGAGCTATATTTTCCCAGCTGTCCATAAATATATCTGCTACTATAGGGGATATTAAATGAATATACCATTTCTAATTATCATGTTACAGATTTACACGAAGTGAGTCGGTAGAGTACAACAGTAGATTGCTCACCAACCACACCTCGCGTGGTCTGGGGTTCGATCCTCGGCCACCGACGTACTCCTACACCTTATCAGTAGTAAGGTAGGTAAAGAGGAAAGGTTGGGTATGAGGCTATCAACCTCACTCCGTAAAGAAAATAAACACCGCTGCTACTGAAACTTCAGAGCTCTGTAGCTTGAAGCCACCCTATGTTCCACAGGGAACGTAAAGGAATAAAATAATATGTAACATAAATAAAACTTACACGAACAATATCATTGGAGCCTGTTTTAGCAGCTTCAATTAATGGAGTAGCACCACTATCGGCTGATTTCTCATTTACATAATCTGATAAACTAATTCCACCCATAGAGGTGACACGAGTAAAGAGATCACGGACACCCTACAGAGAGAGATAACAAAAAATAAATAAAGCAAAACACAAAACAACAAATTAAAATAAACATTCATACTTCACTGTCCTTCACTCTCTGTCTGTCTGTCTGGATTCAACATAGAACTTGGCACCGAAGTGCAGCAATTCGAGTTGCCACGTTCCAAATAGCACACAAAGGTAGACAAGAAAATGAGTGAACAGAATCAATAGAGTTTTGACAAGTATAAGAGTGAAACAGAATGATTAATGGTAGAAAGGAATATGAAAGATTACAGAGACTGAATACATCTGCGTAAGCCATTGACGACGATTTTTAGCCATGTCACCTATTGTCTCCAGCCATTGATTCTTAGAGTCCCGAGGGCGGGCCCCAACCCGGAAGTCTGCATCTCCTTACCTGACTCAGTTTAACTGTCAAGGATTTCATGGATTGATGAGGCCATGTTTTTGTTTGGCCACCACTTACTCTTTTCCAACCTGCACCTATATCAGCTAGTAATGCCCGTCCGTCGGGGGAGGCGATGGTTAGGCATGCGCAGCACGTGACCTAGCCATCTCAATCTATGTAACCTTATAGCCTCTTCGAGTGATTTTCCCTCTTTGCCCAACAATCTACGCCTAACGTCAACATCACTTACCTTATTATACCACCTAACGCGAGAAAGAGATCGTAGACATCTATGATCAAAAACAGTCAACCTTTTCATGTCTTCATACTTTACTGGCCTTTACTATTCAAGTCAAACTTCTAACGAAGCGAACAGGCCTAATAGTTGGCATTACAGATTAAGAGTGCGAACTATAGATTGCAGAATATGACCTAACCTAAGTGGAATAGTGAATCGGTGTAAGTCTCAATCATTCACAGATAAATGAGGAAGTGGGAAACAGTAAAGACAACAAGGCGACAATTTCTGTGGGATCTAAGTGGTGTTATAAGCCTGTGAATTAGTCAAGTGGACGTCCGACTTCCAACCCCGTGACTATTAGATCCCACTTTATACTGCAAACGTTTGCACTGTACAGAAGCATCAACAACTACGACTTACAGCCTAGTATAATACACCTATTGAATCAATGGGTTGAGTATTACCCAAATGAGTCCCAACTGGGGAAGTTATATTTCCTCGGCCGGTTGGGAATAATCAATCACTTCATCGAACGATATTATGTACACCTCCTTTGACTCCACTACTATTCTAAACATGATCATGCTTCAGGGTATATCACTGGATTGATGTGTACATCGTATGCTGGAAAACCGTTATATAATATATATGAACAATTTATATCAATGATTTGTTTCTCACACAATACTTTTAGATGGTATGGTAGGCTTACCAATATATTAAGGTTAGGCATCCAGCGTTAAGTAAGAAGGGAAAATCAATCAACGAGGTTATGAAGTGACATCGATTGACATGGTTAGGACATGTGTTACGCATGCATTTCTAGCCATCGCCTTCCTCAACATAGGATTGATTAGGCTGGAAAAGAGCTAGCACGTGGTGGTCAAACCAAAACATGATTTTATCAGTCAATCAAATCCATAACAGTTAGTCTCAGCCAGCCAACCAGCCAGTTGTGTAAGGAGGTGTAAACTAACTGTCTAACTGGGTGGAGTCCTCGGGATGGTAAGAAGCAATGGAGGCTGGAGACAACTGGTGATATGACTGGCTCAAAATCTTCGTTATCAATGGGTGGCGAAGATGCATTCATTCACTCTTTGTGATTCATCATAGCCATAGTGTTCCTCCATATTACTTACTATTCCTTTTCACTCACACTTCAGTTTACTATCTGTCGTTTACATCTCTCCCTACTTACTCTCTTCTGTTGGTTTGTGTGGGACATGTAGGGAGTGTGGCAACTGGAGCTTTCGTACTTCTGTGCGAAGTTCTATGTTGAAATCAGGTAGTCAGTCAGTCAGTCAGTCAATACTCTATCTCTAAAACCAACATATTCTGATTTATGATTCAAATGTTGCTTACTCTCAGTCATTACTGTTCTGCGAAAATTCTCAGGATAAAAACAGCTCAGTGTATGCAACATCACAGGAAAAAGTAGATGGAGCTTGTGTAAGCATTACGACATCTAATCATTTCCTCTAAGTTCACCAAAATATATTAAACCTTCTTGAGTGCAATAGGTTTCTCTTCTTTCTTTTCGCTTTTTCCGATCGGAACACATTGCGCTTAAAGACTAAGTTTTAAAATTTTAGTTGAGGTGTTGTTTTCTCTGAGTTTGGTAGGGTTGCCAAACTCATGCTCAACATTCCCTCTTAACCGGATATAGTACCAGTTAAGTAAAGTTTAGGACTGTGGAAGAGAATCGAACCCCCAACCACGTACAGCACCACTGATGCACTGAGTACAATGGTGAGTACCTTCAACTAACAACCAAAAATATATTAGTACTGACCATTCTTGAAATTGTATACACTTATTCCTCTTTATAAATCTGAATAACTTCCAAGAGTTGGTTTGTAAGAATTAGATTTGTTTTTTTTACGTGTGACCACGGATTGATATCAGTTAGAGAACTATTGACAACCAGAGAGTATTGCCAGACAGCTGTTTCATCCTAGTTTGGGAATCATCAACAGTACGCACCCACCAACAGGGTTCGAACCCAAGACCTCCCATTTACAAGGCGAGCTCGTATACTATTCAGGCACTGGGACCAGATTCAATGGCCCATGAATTCTAACTTCTTTCCACGAGCTTGCTTTGTAACCGGGAGGTCCTGGGTTCAAACCCTGTTGCTGGGTGCGCACTGATAGCGAGTCCCAAACTAGGACGAAACAGCCGTCCAGTACACCCCGGTTTTCAACGGTTCTCTAAATGACATCAATCCGCGGTCAAACTCGTAAAAACGAATCTGAATAAAGCAAAAAACACGGTTTGTGCAGAACAGTCAAATACACAATGCTACTAGAGCCTTTTCTGAGCATAGCTGCGTCTCAAAGATGACATAAGAAAATGAGAACGTTTACAAATGTAAATGAAAATATGTTACAGCTTCAACTGCATAGAAAAGTGTAAATTTTGCAAATGTGTTGCGTTAAATAACTAAAATCGATGGTGACATAGTATAAAATAGATTTCAGCTGTAACTTTAATTTCCATTTCAACCAAAAGCTTTAATTCACTAGACAACAACTACTACTAGTCGTATTATCTTATTGTAAACCCTTTACATCAGCTTATACCAGTTTATGCCATCTCTGGCGTAGACGTGATATCCGACTGGCTGGCTTTCGACCAAAGGGCATGTGTACTGCTCAGCAGTCCGCTACATCCTCCTTCATGGCTGTGAGCAGAACATAGCCATTGAGAGTGGAAGACACGAAAAGCCTGGCTAGCTGTCTTTCATTATAGGTGCCTGCGTTCTATCTCCCGTGTGAAGTGGTATAGTACGGTATGCGATATTGCGGTTAGGAATCAAGTGCTAGGTAAGGAAGGGAAATCAGTCGACGAGGCTGTGAAGCTACATCGACTGAGATGGTTAGAACATTTGTTACACACGCATGCCTAGTCATCGCCTTCCTCGACGCGCAATGCTAGCTGACATAGGGTTAGGCTGGAAAAGAGCTAGCGGCGGTCAAACCAAAATATGGCCTCATCAGTCAGTGGCTGGAGACATTTGGTGACATGGCTTAAAATCGTTCTCAGTGATGGCGCAGATGCATCCACTCCTTGTGACTTATGACTTCCAATGAAACTATATTGTTCTTCGTTATTACTATTCCTTTCGTCTCATATCTCTGTTTACTGTCTCTATTTTGTATTTCTTCTACTTTCTTCTCTTGCTTTGTGTGCTACATGGAGGGAGTGTGGCGACTTGAACTGCTGCACATCGGTGCAAAGTTCTATGTTGAAAACATAGAGACTTTACATTAGCTTATGATGTAAATACTTTCATTTTTGTGTGCGAACTATCTATTTGCATCCTCAAAAGATAAATTATACATTCAATTATTTTCCGTGTTGAAATAAATGACGCTTTAAACAAAAACTATTACAACAGACTGAGTGTTAAGTCAAAAAAGCAAGACTCTACAAGATCTAAGAAACTCGAAAAAAGAAATACACCATGAATATCTTACCTTAAGATTTGCTTTCCTTACAGCATGATGTAAATCATTGGTTACACCATAGACAGTGATATGAGGAGGTGGTCGAACACCTGGAGCTGGTTTTCCTAACGAACAAACAATACAATTGTTTGCACGTCTAAATTCTGATACAAGTAAATCAATGCCTAAATATTTAGCATTTGTTCCATTCACCTGAGAAACAGAGAAAAAAATTAATACATGTGTAAAACTTCGGCACAGTGGTAGTAAGTAATTCCATATTAGTTTGTTTATTAGATGTATCACACAGTGAGTGAAACAGTATTATTTACTGGATGACAAGGTTTCGAATACAATTTATTGCGGTTCATAATCATTTCATCAATTATAATCACACGACTTCGAAACTTCCGTTTCATAGTTTTCTTTGTTCTCTCCTATTTGTCATCGTTGGGGTAGTAGAATTTTCCAGATATCTGGGTGGACAGGTGTTGAATCATTCCTATTACACGTATTCTCTCTCAGTTGATTCGATAAACAAAGCTTCCGTTATCAATCACTCCCTCCACCCTGTGACATTAGATTTTAAAACTGTTGTCTTATCCCATCCTATTGCATGGTTGTGTGTAATTGCATGTAGTGAGTGCTATACCTGAACTATTCTCTAGATTTCTTATCTTATTCGGGTCAACTAATCTAGATTTTCCTAGATTTTTATGCTCGGTTAGTCTGACTGCACCTGTTCTACTACTTTGACCCGTATATTTGACCTGGCAATCACCGCATGTCTGACAGGCATGTCGTCATTAATATTACTTTTATTATTATTATCACCATCACTACTACCATTATTGATTTCATTTTTACATTTCCTTACATACTTTCTGACCAATTTATCAGGGTAATTATTAAGTTTCAAAGCTTCTCTTATATGTATCACTTCCTGTCTTAGATTTTCCTTGGTACTACTTAGTTTTTGTGCTCTGTCATTTAAACATTTCACCAATCCTATTTTCACTGACATAGGATGGGATGGTCGGAAGTCCAAATATCTGTTTGAATGTGTGGATTTCCTGTAAACACTAGTGTTTAACTTCCCATTTTCTTTCCGTTTTACTCTGCAATCTAACATTGGAAGCTCTCCTTCCAGTTAATAATACTGTTTCACTGTATGATACATCTAATAGAGAAAAGAATGATGCAGAACGTGTGGATGATGAATATTTCCCTATGTTTGTAATACAGAAACAAGGTAGTCACAAAATAAAAAATAAATACAATCAAAGATCTTTTGAGCGAATGATGCTCATATAGAAGTGAATTATGAATGTATATTCACAGTGCATAGACTAGTTTGCAATGTCACCGTGTACATACAGCATTATTGCAAAAGTTTTATTTATGCGAAGAGGTTTACACTGAAAATTCAATGTCTAGATGCCTCTATTAGAAGCGGTAGCATAATGGTGTCCCATTTAAGTTCTTCATCGCTTCAAGTCGAAACGTAGCTCAGTGCTTGTAGCATTTAGCTTCTAACCAATGGGTTTTGATTCCGAACCCCAGTACACTTACTTCACCGTAGGAAGAAACAGGGTGTTAGCATCAGCCCATAAAATGGTACATGGAAAAGCTGTTACAGACAGCTAATTTATAGTAGACTTTCTCGCTATGGCTTTCTGTGTTGCTGACACCAGTTTGCATTTATTTATGCAAGTCTGTATCTTATGTCTACTCACATAGATGCAGCTAATTGGCCTGAATACTCAACTGTCGGAACGGATGAAAGGGAGAAAGTTTCCCGTCCCACTAGCAATCAAAATACAATAACTGTACTTGCAAAGATTTCTGAAATATGTCCATCGATTTGGTTTTTCAGACTAAACACTTGATTTTCAAGCAACTGATGAACGGTTTGAACTGTTCTACATTTCACATAATAAAGTGTAAATGACAAAACAGTACATAAAAACTTGTGTCCGATAAGTGAGTTACATCTTGTTATTTTTATAGAACTATAGAAGGCTCTTTGTCATAGAAATTCTTCAATATTATATGTTGGTACATCCAGAAATTAGAAGAAAACACCCCTTTCTTTGTGGATATACTTGACCAGTTTCTACCACTCTATCTATACTATTCTCAAAGTTTACTTGATTATTCGAATCAACCCTTGGAACAACTTTTACTAAATGCCTCCCTATTAAACCTAACATATTATAATTCTGGATGATAATGAAACACGAGTTTCAGTCTACAGCATTGTATTCACAACAATTACAGGCCTTGATTTAGAAACACTTTAATGTGCTACGACACGAGCTGTACTAATGACACTACAATCTCAATAAACTTTAGGGACGTAAGCAACGAAACCAGTTACGCCATAATAATCACATTCCACTACTTTAAAGCCACTCGAATAAAAAACCCCAATGACACCGATTCCACAAGCTCTCTAAGTCAAAACTTACTACCAACTATGCCTGTTTGACAGGTCTCATAATTTTATCCACGTACCGATTTTATGGAATATATTTAAAAAGGAGTACTCTAGTACAGAACTTCATGAAATCATTTTCAAGAATCTTAACATACTCTTATGCTGGACAAATAACAGGCTGGTCTACAAGAAAAGGACTTCAAACCTAACTAGCTATGTCTTGAAATTCTATAGGAGAGAAAAGCAAACCAAATTTCAAATCAGAATAAGAATAATCAAGCCTTCCAAAGTAAACTGCATGATATAACCGCATAGTAGGAGGAACATAAACCTGACGCCATTTTTCTGAAATAATAGTCATTTTAACTCAAGGTATCAATTTGGTGAGTGGTAACTAGCAGTGAAATCCAGAGTGGGCATCTCGTTCTAATTGGGACTCGTTATCAGAAGGTTTCTATTTAATCAATCAACGGTAAAGTCCACATAGAACTAAATGAGGCTGCTGATGCCTAGATAAGACCAACCGGAATAATGAACTTCAGAAGTCAGTTAGAAATGTTAGAAAAAATAAATTGAAAGGCCTTGGAATATTGACGTATGAATTCTAAAACTGGATAGCCGCAGTTAGAAACTACGCTTTGTCTTTAGTACTTTTATTCAAACTATTTTTGAAGGCAAGTTAATAGGAACTTAGAAATCTTTGAAACAGATTAGATTATGTCAAAAATCAACAAATGTTTGTGTGGGTTTCTCACTTAACTATAAACCAAATCATAAACGTGACGGAAAAGACTATTTCTAAATAGCTCAAAGGAAAGTTCATCTAAGCCTAAGTACATATATACATATATATACCATTTTCATACGTTTAAAACAAGTACCTGATAGAACCCGTCAGAAAGCTCTTCTATCGGATAATGATACAACTGTTGATTGTAGATGACACTGAGAACATATTTATGAGTTGACGTGCTGAAACGTATCAGAAATGTGCCATTGACAGAATGATGTTTAAGAAGCCTCTCGGTATCTTCACGACTAATATTTCCATGAAACCAGTGCCCAGATGGTACTGCATCTGGAACATCAGCAACTGTCTTAACAGGCATCCTTGGAGTAACAAGTTCAAACGGAGACAGTACAACAGATGATGCCGTTATGGGGATTGGCCTGTGAATCACACGAGATTGTGGTTGGTTTTGAACAGTGCAACTATCATTCACTTGTTTCCGATGTTGTGGCATTACGATTAAATTTTGTTTAACAGGAATCTACGGGAGAATATCCAAGTGTTTGACATAATCTAATAAAATAGGACCTCAGACAGAAATAAGTCCCACAAACCGCAGGCCACCCCGCCTTTAGCCACTTGTGACCTTAACTCGAGCATTAGTTCGTTAAAACAAAGTACCGCAGAAACTTTCGTGAAACTGTATTATCAGATTAGGCTGTACAGACCTTCAGGCACTTTAAGATTTCCAAAAACTGGTTTTACCAACTTTTTGGAATGATTTCACATGATTTACTAGGAAACCTCTTGCTCAGGTTTTACGCTGCACATCATCAGCTCCTTAGGTTATAAAAGCTCCAAAACAGAAAAATTGAAGTTCATTCAAGCTCAGAACCGCCTAGTATTAATAATTAGATGAAGAGTTCTACATATGGGACATTCTTTCTTTCTGAATTGAGCTAACTGTGAATTAGGAATATCCAATTCTTCACTTTCCTGTCACCCATCTATGCGCACATCATACACAATTCTCCAAGAAAGGCATAAACATTTAGAGCAACAGCTACAGTAAAGACTCACTGAAATATCAAGCAGGGTGATATTAATACATCACGGAGCTGACTATTCCACATAAACTAGCAGATAACCATTTCAGCGAAAGGCCACACGTTGAGATTCAACCCTGAAACCTAAGTGTGGAGAAATGGGATTTAGGGGTCTTGAAAAAAAACATCCCGCTGTATCCTCAGCAAATTATTCCCTCTGTTTCAAATGCGTGCGAAAATCAGTTTTAACCGTTGAGGATTCCTTTTGAAGACTGACATTAAGTAGTTTATGATCATTAAAAGCAGCTCGTTGTATTCTCATAGATTATTAATAAACACCAAAACAATTTTTATCCGTCATAAAAACCATAAACGTGCATATAATATCCTAAGATAGAATTTGTCTGATAAACCATACTCTATTAAGGAAATACAAGACCTCGATACTGATATATGCGTGTCATCACCCCTTCAGAACGCTTCTCAACGACCTGCTTGAATGTCGGACCAGAGTGTAGATTTCGAAACGTTTAATCCCCGATACGAATGTAAAACAAGCAGCAAAAGTTAATAAAGGAGGATTCAATGAATCCATCATATGTCGGTAGAATTCTTCAGCTGAATACTCTACATACAGAGATTCGTACTACTAGAAGGACATTGGGAGATATAAGACTGGTACGCGAACAAACTTTATTGAATTAATTATGAAAAACGATGCTGGTGAATGTTTTGCAGGTCATATTTAAATAGAAAAGAGAAAAGGAGCATGGGAGATTAAAATTAAGATAAATGCACTACTATTCAATTACATCAATTATGTAAACAAATAGTCATCAAATAAAAAACTTAAACATATAGAGAATTGCGGATTGAGTAATACTAGTAGTAATAGTAATTAACTATTATCACTAGACAAAGAAACAGGAAGATGTTTATAACTACGGAGGCTTGTACAATCAGACTTTGTTAATCATATCTTCGTGTACAGGAGGAAATGGTGGTCCATTTGAATCTACCATGTTAATACGTTATACTCAAAATTATTTCTTCCGATAGAGTTATTAGAAGACGGAGATTATCTGAAAAATATGATGTAGTCGCGCTATACATTTCAAACAATCTGATCACTTATTTACTTGTCAAGTTGATATATATGAAAAAATTAAGGGCAACCAACCAAATTAAACTAAGTGAGAAAAAAGGAATTAAGAATGACTAACACAACGTTTGGTAATCCAATCAAATAAGGATTACCAAGGTGGGTTAAGAGTAATAATAAACTGTTTTTGAATACACAGGGGGCTTAAGTTTGTAAATAGCTAAATCCTCAGCGTATTTCAGTAAGTGCCCTTGACCACTTTTATAGATGACCTTAAGGGCTGAGTTAAAATCAAACTTATGCTGATAAATTTGTGATATTTCTATGACTTCAGTGGTCGATTTATAATGAGTTATCAGGATAGAGTGATTCGATTGTTAAATTGTGAAAGCATCATTAACGTGTGGCCTTCACCCCACATTTTGTTTGGTTTTCTATCTATGTTCAAGTAAATAATATATCCGCGCGTGATTCAGGGCAATCTCTAAGGGAAAAACTGCCTAAGAAAACAGTAAAGGTGACTGAAAACGCGACTAAGAGTAACGTATTATCAAAAATACATCTACATAAGGTATAAAGATAGGTCCATAAAGTCCTTTTCATGTAAATTTATGTTTATATGAAAATATAGGCTATTATTATTGTTACAATCCTAATCCGCAGTATATAATGCTAAACATGTAGTTCTTTCCATCAAAACAGCGGTAACTTCAGTGAAAATATAATTTCACTCCTTAACAAAAGATAAGGGATGTACAGATCTAAATTACGAATAAAAAAGTGCTTTCGCTCCTAGCATCTACAAGCCTGTTCAGCCCCTTATCAAGATGCTACCCCATGGGCCCTGCACAAATGCGCGAGACATCTTACAGGTCAGCTTGTCCCATGGGTTCTAATTTTCCAGATATTTGAATGCATTTCTCACTGCAATATCACTTACCTACCTCACAATAATCTTTTTATTTACGCACTATTGTGCTTTACTTCATGTTAACTACCTTGGCATTCATTAAAGTTACAACTCACTCTTTGTTCATATTTGTTTCTTGCTTAAAGTCTGGTTGCTTCGATAATAATTATATATTCTCTGTTTTTGTACATGGAGGACGCCAGTTTACAGGCATAATCAATATGATAAATTACATATACGATTAGTAGGTATATTTAACAATAATTGATAACAATATAATAAAATACATATGTATTCTCACCTATTTGGACACGCCAATTGTACAGGCATGGGTAGGTATTATTTAAAAGCCTACCGCCCCACCAACATCACGTCTGTAGTTGCAAGTGTAATGGAAAAGATAGTAAATACTCAAATCATTCGTTACTTGCTGTCAAATGACCTACTACCCCCATCCCAATACGGTTTCTTAAGTAGAAGGTCGTGCATTACCTGCCACTTAGATTATTTTGACTACATTACACAATGCATTGATGGTGGGCTTTCAGTAACAACATTATTTCTCGACGTTAGCAAGGCCTTCGATAAAGTCCCACATATCAGACTCCTAACAAAACTCAAATCCTACAGAATAACTGGAAAACTTCTCAAATTGATAAATTCTTTTCTCACAGAAAGAGAACAATTAGTTAAAATCAACCACTAGATGTCTTTAAAGCCGATAACTAGTGGTGTAAACAGGGGTAGCGTTCTAGGTCCCATTCTATTCCTCTTATTCATAAATGACATAGTCTCTTTGATCAAGTATGGCAAGCCATACCTCTTCGCAGATGATCCCAATATAGTACATTATTGTGGGTACGATGATATGAGCATCGAAAGCAAGATCCAACATGACTTAAACAATCTAGGCGATTGAAAAGAAAAGTGGCAAATGACTTTCAACCGAGACAAGTGCGGTATAGCCCACCTGGGACACTGGAAACCCAGAATGTGCCTACATATGTATGGTAAGCTCCTCTCGAAACTAAACACAGTCGCAGATCTCGGGATAACATACTCAGATCTAACCTCTTCTGATCATGCAAATAAGGCTGTATCCTACGAGTTCTAATTTTCCAGATTTTTGAATTTATTCCTCACTTAAATACCACTTACCTGCCTCACAATAATCCTTTTATTTACGCGTTATTAGTCTCTACTTTATGTTAACTACCTAGGCCATTATTAAAGCTAAAACTTGCTCTTTGTTTATACTTATTGCTTGTCCAAAATCTGGTTGCTTTGATTGAAAATACAACAACACCAATGTTTTTGAACAAAGCTATATCTTCATCGAAAACATCATAGTTTCCATGCTTAGACCGATATGGTTAGCATTAAACATTGCAAATGTAAACTATCATTACATCTTCTTCTTCTCCTTGAATTTATCTCGTAAATATACTTCCAGTAATGTATCATTCATAATTTCATTTTATACCATTTTGCAGTTGAGCAGAATTTTCTCCTCTTCCTGAAATAGCGTTCAATCACGTGGCGACATAGCACTCACCCAGATATTCGCTGTTCACTGGTTGACCATAACGATCAGCAGGAAACGGAACGAAGTTTGGGTTGTTGCTCAAATTTGATGGTGACCTCAGTGGAGGGTTTACAATTTAACATTTATAAGAACCTGTTCTGACTGCTTGTACAATAAATGAATAATTTAAACCTTCGGAAAAGTATTAATTTATGATAATTCGGAATTGTAATTTATAACATAGCTGATCGTGACTGTAAAAATAGCAATCATTTCTTGTAAACTTACCCGTTTATACGAAATAAAAATTATTATTATTATAAGATAATCAGCGATTTCCGGCGGTGAACCATTCATTGAAAACTTTCCATGATTATTTAATTCCATAGCGACGCCAAAATGTTATAATTATTTGTAGTAGTTGTATTTCGCAATAACCAAATTACAGGAAACCAACCAACAGCACAGAGGGATGAATTTAGGAATTTGTATTTGGTGGAATTATTCTTCAATTCATTTGATAAATATATTAGCAAACAACAATAAGTATTTAAACAATACAGCGATACAAATTGTCAATCACCACATGTTCTCTATGGAAATGGCTTAAACATTTGGAGGGTGTCAATAATTGCAGTGAAATGCTTTAGTTTCGGGGAAATCTCAACGGGTTGTTAGATAACTTCAGTGGATGAGTGCTCCCGGTTAAAGTAGCAGAGTGCAGAAACACGATCTTTAGGCATGCAAGTGCCAGGTCGCATTACCTGGTGGGTTTCCCAATCCAGTCGGTTCAGACACATAAGAATCTAGGCTCCATAGTAAGTCATGACCTAGGAGCTACAGCACATTGTCATGAGGTGGCAGGTTGCAGTTCCAGATCTTTATGGGTAATTAATTTATCACTAGTGAAAGTCGGAAGGCCGAGACTAGGGTGCGTTTCCATTTCTTTTCTCTTCGAGTCCGCTGTCCCTGGAACTCTTTGGCAGCAACTGTAGTTATTGCCCCTTCCGTTGAGAGCTTTAAACAGAGGTTGGATAGTTACACAACAAAAGA